CTGGTCCTAGAGATGTGTTCAAAGTCTACAATAATCCAGCAGGATCAAGATGATACAGGCAGCACTGCCAGTGACGACGGAGTACATGTCATGAAATCGAAAAGTCTAACAATCAAGCAGTTTCTTCACAGTCACGAACTGGGTGTTGGTCCAGAAGAGTTGCATGACCGTTGTGTTGTTGCATGCAGGATAATGATGGAGATTTAGGATGCAGACGACCATTCTGAAACTGTGGGGCATTGTCACGGAGGTGGACATGCGGTGGATGATCGCTTCAGAAGAATCTGGTTGTAGAAGATGAAGTGAGAACCAAACTTGATGCAGAGTAGAAGGTTGAAAGCACTGCAAATGTCGCAAACATATTAAGATTCAACACACGGCACTCGGCCTGCGACTTCAGCGTTGAACTCGACTTCTGCTTGTAAGAACTGCTTCATTGACGATGATGTAATCCATGGTGAAGATCTAGTATCCTTTGGCATCCAAATGAACTTGCAAGGTTTCCACGAGCCCGACTTTATGGAGATGACTACTCAACCGATGAACATGGAGAAGGCTGAGTCTTTACAGTTGAGTTTGAGGGAAAGATCGTCTCGGAGATTAGGCGTTGGTTTGAGAGATAACTGGGACAGTTTCCAGATTCTGAAGGTGGATAACAGTCTCGATCAGTTCGAAGACGGAATGGGGCGATTTCTTTGTGATAGAAGAGAGAACGTCACAGACTCACCGACTATTGCTGTCGTCGAATTCATCATCTCAATCCGGTGTCACTATCGACACCCTGAAGCCGATTGAGGTCATGGACAAAATTGACGAGCATAGAACATGTAGAAAGGAGGGAAATGATGAAAAGGGCAGCTTCTTCGTGAGTTTGTTGCCACTTTTGATGACAACAAATGGGGATGGAATGGACCTTACCTTGAAAAAGCGGAGTAGTGTCGAGATTACACGTCATGCCAAGCTGAAGTCGTCATGACGAGCTTGAACAGCAAGAGTGGGGCGGATGCATCAGAACCGAACGCCGAAATCGCAGATAGAGACCCAAAAAACCAAGAAGTGAAGCCCTCTCATAGATAAATCCGAACAGCCTTATGGATGAAAAGTCCAGGTGCAAGAAGTGTGATGCACACTGAGGGATGCGGAGGAGCAGCGGAGAGAGATCACTCTCTCACACTCACACACACCCTCTCTCTCTCTCTCTCTCTCTCTCTTTGTTTGTTGTGTTCCTGCAACTAGACATGTAGTGCGGAAGGATAGCGGCTGCAGTGACCCGCACCGGTTTCTTCTAGTTTAACTATGACTGGGTAAAGCAGGAAGTGTGGCAATTCATCGACAACGAGCTCAAAGATTCCGTCTGGCTCCTCGATCTCGGAGCAGCAGCAGCTCAAGGAGAGCGGCAGTGCAGGAGCTAGATCCTCCGCAGTTGGAGTGCGGGTTCATGAAGGCTGGACTTCGATTCCAGGATTGTTCCAGGACACATAGACTGCGCTCCACTTGCTGTCTGCGCTGTACTATTCCAGGAACAACAACATCAGTTGCAGCAACTGTTGCTTGTTTGGTGAGGTTCGTTGAAGGATATGTGCTACAGCCCCCATAGTTGGCTGGCCTTCCCTTCCCCCAAGCTGCCGTTCGCAGCACATGGGTCCCTGTTAGTGTGTGTTTGTGAAGCAGGAGACATGGAAAGGTTGAAATTGTCATCGCTTGAAACAGTCAATACCTTTGGGATAAATGTTCGTTGCCAAGGAGTGCGGTTTGGCTTCTTCTACGCTTCACAAGAACCAGGTTGTTAATGCGTCCTTAACTTGGAGGTTGTTGCCATTTCCCACATGTCATTCCTAAACTAGTTAGTACATCCCATGTAGAATGGTTTGTAATTAAGATTTGCAACTTGATTGCAGATTTTATTTTTAGAATTTGGTTTCTGGGTTTATTCTTATCTTTTCAAGCTTGAAAGTGCCTTGTTCTTCATCAATCATTTGGTTTATAAAAGAAAAAAAAGTAATGTACATTTATCTTATTTATTTTATTTCATTTTTTTGTTTGTGATGTACTTCATGTGTCGTACTTTTTCTACAGGTTGAAGTTTAGGTATCTCTTGAATAATGAATGAATCACTTTAGTAAGTCAAAATAATTGTCAAACTAATTTAAGACAGGCTTAACAATGACAAATAGTAAAATATATACCAAATATCTATTAGTAGATTTTTTGGTATTTTTTTAAGAATAAATCTAGTATCTCAAAAATGCATAGAAGTACTCAATTCTTGAAATAAATGATAGATAAGATGCCAACAATAAATGTTGTCTTACATCTACATCCACAACATCAAAGTAAATAGAAGCATCAATAAAGATTAGCATGCTAACACTTAGTAAAATATGTTGTAATTTAGTATTTAGAACATTTAAAAAAATATATTAAATATTAAAAATAAGATAAAACAAATCTCTAATATTATATATTGATATTATTAATATATTTAATATTTAATATTTAGTATTATTAATATATTAATATCAACATATTAAATATAGTTGATTATCTTGGTATTCAATCAATCTATATATATATATATATATATATATATATAATTTAAATGGTAGCATTGTTCTTAAGTTGTCCTATATTCTTACCTTGGAATTACCTTGAAAGAGACTATTATTTTAGAATTGATAATAAAGTATCAAAATAATGTAATAATTTTTATTACCTTAGACTTTTAAAAATAAATCCATATTCTTGAAAACAAATTCTTGAGATTAATATATAGAGGTTCATCATAATCTTATTAGTTTATTAAATTAATCACTAATTTTGCAGATAAAGTGGATTTTATATCAAGGAGCACAAGAAAATGCATTAGTCAAAATATAACTTGTGCTATTGTAAAAAAATATTTCAACCAAATTTTTTATCTATTCTTGCATTAATAATGTCAAATTAATTATAATAATGTAAATTATTAAAGTTTGATATTATAACTTTCTAATTTTTTTTACATATCTCTAATATTAATAAAATTAGTTCTCAATAGCAATAGCATAAATTATTTTGAAATAGACACAAGAAAAGATGTTATATATAATGTTTTATGCATGAATTTAAAAGCAAAGTCTAAAAAACCAACAATATTAAATCCTATATTTATTGCAATTCTCTCTACCAATATATGAAAAAATTCATCTCTCATTTTCATTAAAACACATATGGCCTAATAACAAAGTTTTCAAATAAATGTCAAAAGAAGATTATAAAGATGCTTCCACCAAGTATTTTTTTCTATAATTAACCTAATAAAAAAATACCTACATTAAATAAGCTTGAACATGTATTAGCAAAAATTCAATCTCTATAGATATTTTGGTAGTACCAAATCTATAAATTGGCTAAAATGATATTTTTAGGAGAGCCAAATATATGATACTTTTAAAAATAATTAGAGATTATTATCCTTTAATATGACAATTCTTTACTGTTTCAGAATAAAAATAAATTCAGGTTTCATTTGCAGAACCCTACGTGAAGATTAAAGCCATATCATAAAATGACGTATATGTTTAAAAGCATACAACTCAACGATGAGCGCACTTAATTGATGACAATGTATGACATGAGTGGAAGTGGAACAACCCATTTGTAAAAGGAAGGAAGGAAGGAAGGAAGAACGAACTCCATATCCAAGTTTCATGGATAATGTTTTGTGATGAGAAAACACACACCCCCCTTCCTGTACATCCCGAATGACTTATTCATTCGAACGTGCATCGACGACAGCTCCAAAGCCTATAAGTCCGATGGTGAGCGAGGCGGTGAAGAGAAAGAGAAGCTAAAGAGGAGAGAAAGGGAAACTCCTCCTCCTCCTCTTCGGAATTTACAAGTTGAGGAAAGGAAAGGAAAAGAAAAGGGAAGGAAGGAAGGAACGGAACCGAAAAAGAAAGGAATGAAGGAAAGAATGAAAAGGAAGGAAGGAAGGAAGGAACGGAACGGAAAAGAAAAGAATGAAGGAAAGAATGAAAAGGAAGGAAGGAACGGAACGGAACGGAAAAGAAAGGAATGAAGGAGATGGATGTCAAGGCAACAGGCAGGCAGGACGACGTAGACTCCCCCCCTCCCCCGAGGAATGAGAATGTGGACGTGGCAGGGCGGTACCGGGAGCCAGCCGAGCAGCCCGGAAACCACCAGACGATACAGCGGAGATAGAGAGAAGAGAGAGAGAGAAAGGGAGGGGGGTGGCAGGAAGGCAGGTGGGGGGGACAGTCTGGCAGGAGAGGAGGGAGAGAGGGGAGTGCAGACACACCACCACGGCGCCCCCCAACGGAAAGATATCACGAAGCCGACGGACGGACGGACGGACGGACGGACTCTTTCCTTTCCATTTTCTTTTTCTTTCTGGTCGCAGCAAGCAGAGGGCAGCACAGGGGGGAGGACGAAGAGGGGGGGTAGAGGAGGGAGCGAGAGAAGCGGTCAAGAGTGTGGCTAATCTCGCGTCTCTCTGCCCTGCCCTGCCTCTCTTCTCGACTGCACTGCAATGACTGCCCCGCCCTGCCCTGCGCAGACCGACCAACGCCAAAGCCAACGCCAACGCAGGGCGAGGGGTGTGGCCAAGCCAAGGGACCATAGAGACAGAGGCAGTGGGAGAGAGCCCTACAACGCAAGCAAGCGCGCCAGGGGAGACCCAGACCTCCTCCGTCATTTGCCGCACAAGCACCACCCTCTGCTCTCTCTCTGCTCTCTGCTCTCTGCTCTCTCCCTCCCTCTCCCTCGATCTGTGCGCACCTCCCCTGCTGTTGTTGCTCCTCCTCCTCGCAACTCCCCCTCTCTCCCTTCCTTCCCTCCCTGCCTGCCTCCTCTTCCTCCTCTCCTCCTGCCTGCTCCCTCCTCCTCCTCGTCTCCGTCCCGTCTCTGCTCCAGGTTTGCAGCCTTCCCCTTCCTCTAGCTTCCGTCTCTCGCCGCTATTTCTCCTCCTCTCCCCCCGCCCCCCTCTACGATTGTTCTCGCTATGGCTTCTACGTTCCCCCTTGTCGCGTTTGCTTGCAAGAACGTCGCTTATTCTCCCATGCTCACCTAGCTTTGCCGTTCGGTCGCGAGTGCAAGCGCGTCTTGCTCAGATCCGCGTTTTCTGTGCTCGCGTTTTTCAAGGTTACCAAGGTGGTTCCGGTCGTATACCCTCAGGATAATTTTTTCTCTACTCGTTGCAGTGTATCTCTGCTTCATTGTCCTATTTTATTGGTCCAAGTTCGGTTGATTGGCGCTGGTGATAGACACTTGTGTATCGTTTTCGATCAGAGCCTTGGAGCTACTGTTCCGCCTTTACCGTACGGAACTTTGTTTTTGGTACATGGTTCGTAGGCTGCCGTTTGTCGTAGGGCTTTCTTCCTGCGACATTTTCGAGGGCGTACATTTCTCATACTCGTTCAGAGCAGCTGCAGAGAATTATACGGTGAGCGACGATTCTACGGGGCGTGAGAGGAGTTCGCCCAGGTGTTAACGGCTCGCAAAATCATAGAATCATCAAAAGGAATTGTCTAGCTGGTGGATGACTTCCATTTGAAGGGGTGTACTCATGCTGCCTATTTATTTTGCAGCGGAAGGTTCGTAGTGATGAAAGCTCTTGTTTTGCGGATGTCAGGGTCTCTGTCGATTGCGAGAACTGTGTTATGTCTTTTATTTCATTTCAGCTAAGTGATTTTCGAAATGCCGATAACCAACATTAATGACGTTAATCAACGTTGTCACCATTTATCAGCATCAAGTTCTGGCGGTAGTGATTACGTTTGCCGTTAGAATTAATTCGGAAGTCGGTGCGGAATTCATTTGCTATTTTGCAAGAATTGCTGGATCGCTAGTCTTTATCAGGGATACCTGCTTAACTGTTCACCGCAAAAACCTGTGTCGCGTGATGCTAACCACGAAATTGTGATGTTTATCCATACTGTTCATTCTTCGTGATGCAATTTATTCTTTCTGGGAATATTTGTAATTAAAGAGAGCTAGTAGATTCTGAAAGCGTTTCTCAAAGTAGTTTAAAATATGGACGTTCAAAGTTCTGGGTCCTTCCTCATTGCAACCGATTTTGGATAACGGGATTTTTGCATAAGATTCCCTACCAGGTTTTTCTAAGGGGCATCAGGACACCACCCTCTTCATCACCTTGCCGGTCAGGGTCGGATTCAAATTGTTTGATAATGCCGTTGACCCCTCTGAATAGCGCTTATCAATCGGTGCAACGGACTTCAGTGTAGATGCTCTTTTAGTCCGAGAGCCTCGAGGACCAGGGTTGTGATTTGGGGAGCTGGAATGTCTTCGCACTCACGTTCGTGTTCTGAAGGTTTCGAATCTGCTGCGCTTGCAGGGCATGTGAAGAAGCTGGTGTGCTGAAGCAACGTGCGCAGTTTTGATTTTGGGATTAGAAATGGGTTGTTGGTGTTGGCCCGACAAGGAACCCCACAATGAATCTACTGATCCGCACAGTCATTACCTTCCTCACAATGGAAACATGGGTAAGTTGGTGTCAGCGGATACGTCTTCCATCTTTTACAGTTAATGAGTTACGCTTGTGTAAGTAGGTGAGAGGTTGGACTCGATTTCTTCTCTCAATGCGGTTTCTGGGTTGTTTTCTTCTTTCAATGCAGTCGCTATTCTTTTCCGCCAAACTCACTGCGATGCAATGTATCATTTCATCACTCTGCGTTCGTCACAGTCCTATGAGGGGAAACATCTCACAATCCATGATGTCTGTTAGGTCACCAAGGTATGTCGGGATCCACTCCCGGCGAACAACCACAGAGGACTGGGCAGGGCCCTACCAGGGTTCAACCTATTTCTGCTCCACAGTTGTCTCTCGATGAAATTAGAGACTGCACAGATAATTTTGGTCCAAAGTCTTTGATCGGGGAAGGATCATACGCTAGGGTATATTATGCATCCCTTCCAGACCGCGTTGCTGCCATCAAAAAATTGGACGTAAGTTCCCAGCCGGATTCGGAGTTTCTTTCGCAGGTAACTGATTCTTCTCCCAAACTCTTACTCTGTCAAGGTTCAGGATGTTTCCATTGGAAAATTTGGATGTAGTCATGAAAGTATAATAACGTAGGTTGGGAGTCCGATACTGGAGTATCTGTGATATCACTCACTCAGGACCAAGACCCCATGCGTCACCCGCTAGGTCATGTTGTGCTAGTGCCGGAATGGACTAGGATGTGTGTCAGTTCTTTGTCGCCTCTTTCACTGATTTGTGTAAGTGCGTGTTCCAAGTTCGAGGCTGAACGTGCCTTCTTGAACGTGCAGGTGTCACTTGTTTCCAGACTCAAGCACGAGAACGTGGTTGAGCTGATTGGATACTGTCTGGATGGGCAGCTGCGGGTGCTCGCTTACGAATATGCTACCATGGGATCTCTGCACGATATTCTCCACGGTGCGTGCTCCGATGAATAGCAGAGAGTAACCGATGGACGACTTGCAGTAGGCACCTGTGAAGTGTCGAATCTGATTTCGTGAACGAGCAAGCGCGTGTAGTAAATGCTGTTGTTTGCGCAGCATAATCTAGTCCTTTTTCTTCATTTCCCTCTTTTGAAGAGGTACAAAGAAGAGCCTGTTGGTGTGTTCACTTTCCGGATATCGTGGAAGTGATCATACGGCGGTGTTCTTCCAAGAGTGTGGAGTACTGAGTACTTTGTCTGCTTGTACCTGGAACGCAAGGAAGTGAGAATTGGTAGCTGACATGGGTGGGAACTTGAGATTCATGACTTGCAGGACGGAAAGGTGTGAAGGGTGCTCAGCCCGGGCCAGTGTTGGATTGGATGCAGCGAGTAAAAATAGCAGTGGGAGCTGCCAGGGGTTTGGAATATCTACACGAGAAGGCACAGCCACCTATTATTCATCGGGACATCAAGTCGAGCAATGTTTTGCTGTTTGATTCGTATGTGGCAAAGATAGCCGACTTCAACTTGTCGAACCAGGCGCCCGACATGGCTGCGCGTCTACACTCCACTCGTGTTCTTGGAACCTTCGGCTACCACGCACCGGAGTGAGTTTTCTAGTCGGTGTTCATAGTATGTAGTATCATTGGGTGCTTGGTAGTTGGGATGGCAGACAAGAATGGAAACAATAGTCGAGTTGCAGCAAAGAAGCGAGGTTATAGACGCCAAACGTTGTGTGCTTTGAATGAACGCGGTTACGGTTATTTGTCCTACTGCATGAAGCAAGCAGTGCTATGATACAACGTGAAACCAAGCGCCCAGTTGGAATGGTACTCACGTTGTAGAGCAATTGGGAACGAGTGCATAGGTTTTGGAAAAAAATGACGTGATGAGCTTGATTTGAAGCACTGACGCGCTGGTTTGTGTTCAGGTACGCAATGACGGGCCAGTTAACTCAGAAGAGCGATGTGTACAGCTTTGGCGTGGTACTTTTGGAGCTTTTGACAGGAAGGAAACCAGTGGATCCTACGATGCCCCGCGGGCAGCAGAGTCTTGTTACCTGGGTAATGGATCAATCCGCATTTCCGGTGCAATTGTGATGTTGAAGTAGTCGTGCCTTGCAGATTTGATATATACCTGTTGTGCTTATATTCATTTAATTCGTGGTGAAGATGACTAAATTCAGTTCCAACCTTCACAACAGTGTATTCAGAGGACTGTAACTTGCTGTGTTTTCACGTGCAGGCCACACCGAGGTTGAGTGAAGATAAGGTGAAGCAGTGCGTGGATCCAAAATTGAGGTCGGAGTATCCTCCAAAGGCTGTTGCCAAGGTCAGTTTCATATCATGTACTTTATAGAGCTGTAAATATAAATACGATGTAGTGGAGGTATGCTTGCCATGTTTATATTTTGTTTTGGAAATGGTGGTAATGGTTTGTTTTTTTAACCTGAGTTGCAGATGGCAGCTGTTGCGGCGTTGTGTGTCCAGTATGAGCCAGATTTTCGCCCCAATATGAGCATTGTTGTGAAGGCACTGCAACCGTTGTTGTCAGCAAGACCTGCTCCTCAAGGAGGAGGGTATCAAGGAGAATGAGTGGTGTAGGCCGTAATCACGTAGCCAGTCTGAAATTTCTCTGTATGAATTAGTGAAGACCTCAATTTTCATGTGGGGTCTTTGGATTGTTTTGTGTTAAGTTGCTTTCAGATTCTATTTATTGTCAGCTCATAAGAGACAGACTGTAGCAGGCTGTGCTGCTTCAGTTGGTGCAAGAAGCTTGAGGTATGCCTTCTAGTGTCTTATATCTTAAGTGATTTTGATGTAGGTTTCACAGGGAAAATTGTTTGGCTGAGAGATGGTTTTTTGAAGCTAGTATACACTGAGATGTGCTGTGTGTGCAATGGTTGGCCACTTGTCATTTCTATAAATATACTCTCTCTTTTTCCATGCAGTGGATTGCAATCGTCGAATGTTGTTTGTAGTTCTTGAATGTTCGGTCAAGTTAAATGGAAGATTCATTTGAAATGTGTTCCCTAACATGTTGACATATCTCGAATATGCTGGAGTAAGAAACCATTTGGATATTTTAAACCATCTAAAATTGTTTTAAACTGCACGATTTCAAAGTATTTCCATTTTAGAGGATATGTCATCAGGTGATACCCTCCAGGGTATTTCACCCTTCGATCTTAGAAAGCGTCTCACAATGCATTCAAGTCTTGAAAGAACTAGTTTACATAACCTTGACTACTGGAATACTTTTTTCTGAGCACTATCTATCCACTTCACACCATACTTCGCGTGAAGTTGACGAAACTGACCTCCCTTCTCACATTGCACAATGGAATGAAGCATAATATTCTAATCTTTCAAGCACGTTGCAGCATGACGAACATTTTGACTGAAGAAATTGTCCAGGTGATTTGATAAGAATTTATGAGCCTATCATTGTGGAAAATAAGGTGTTGACTTACTTGAATTCAATCAAAACGAAACGATGCATACAACTAATTTTTAGGAATTTGTCTCCAGTTTTATCACATCATGGTATAGATCTAAATGAAATGTTTAGAGCTAGTCTGGTTTTTCACTAATGTTTCTTCAGTCTGAGGTCTGGAAATAAAATACCTCTGTTCTGTGGTGATGTTCTTTTGGCTAACTGTTTTTGAGCGCAAATGAATAGAGATTAGATTATTACCAGTGAGGCTCACCCAACTTCACTCGGACTGTTATTTTAGGCTTGAGGCATGGGCCCTACAGTTAACCCAGCATATGTATAATACTTTAGTACGTTGTATCAAAAATAATGTTGAGGCAAAATTCCTTCCTCAAGGGGTACGTGTCACCAATATTCGACACCAACTTGCTTTGTACCATTTTGTTTCAGATATATTCTTCTATATCGTTACCTTTAACATAAATCAAGATAATACAGTATTTTCTTTTCTTTTTTTTCTTGGATAAAAAAAATAAAAATAAAAATAAAATGTTCAAGGCTTTATAAATATCCTTGTTAATTATATTGAGACAGAGTTAAATCTATCTGGCTCTTTATTACAAGTAGCATGTTCCAAAAAGCCATTGATTCCAAGTCTTAGCATGGTGATTACAAAAACATATGAATTTCATAAATAATGAAACAAATTATATTGGATCTGCCAATCTATTCCCACACTTCCACATACTACAAACAAAAACTTGAAACCCTTTCATGCACATACAACCATTAAACCAATCTTCAATTTTTATCGATTAAAAAAACATACTAATGAATTAACTAATTAAATTTTGTATCAATGCCCAACTCATTTTTCAGTGCACTATGTCTGAGCTATCTCTGGAATAATTCAAATATACTTGAAAAGTTGTAATATGATAATATACGTGCATAGTGAAGAATGAGGAAGAAATCTTTCCACTACGATTTGGTTCCAGCAGTGATTAATCACGTGTGTGTGTGTGTGTGTTTGTTTGTTTGTTTTTTCCTTTTTTATATTGTTTCAAAATAATTTTAAATACGGATATGATTATTCCTTTACTAGATTTGTATGCAAGATTATGGAATACAAATTTGTACTGAATATTTAACAGTTCAAATACGTAGTCTGAGGTATACTTCTTTGAAAGAATTATACGATAAAAAATACATTTGTGAGTTGCTAACAACTTTGGTTTTATTATTTTGATGGTTTTTGTTGTATTGGTTTTACTATGTTTTTTTTTTTTTTTTTTTTTTTTTTTTTTGCTTGCTTGTTTTCAGTTTGTCGCTTATTATTAAAATGTATAACGCCACAATACATTTCACTTTTAGTGACTCCAAAAGTTTGTACTGCATATAAATATATTAAAAATTTATGTCTGTTAATATTCATACTTTTTAAAATGAATATAAATGATATGGGAAAAAAAACATTATTTATTGCTATTTACTTGAAATACAAGCAACTATGTTATTGAATACAAAATTCAACAAAAATCACAAACAGTAACAACCATAATTGCTTTTAAAAGCAACCAATTCATACAAAGTTTAATTACTGTTAATGTTGAACAAATCATATGCATCATTTAACATACTCAGCTTAATGCAAAGAACAGAAATTGCATGTTGAGTACAAAATTTGGGTAAACAATGTTCTACACAGCAAATACTCAGTTGGACTTCTAATTATGTGCACTAAGAAATCATATATGTATATATATATATATATATATATATATATGAATTTAAAGAAAATCAGTGACCATATATATTAGGTAAAATAAATCAAAATATATTACATATGTAGGAAAGCATGTGTTTGTGTTAAATGGATTATTTTGAAATGTTGAAGCAATAACATCATCAATAATGTACATAACATTTGTGAGGCTACAAATGTGACTTAGTACAAAATTTAAAGAAAAATATCTATTATTAGATTAATATATCTTTTTATTTAAAAAAAATATCCAGAACTAAATTAAATCTGGAATCAAGTATTAATCTTCCTTGTATTTGTTAAAATATTGATTATATGTTTATAAACAAAGGTCCATGTTAAATAACTCACTTTTAAAAAAAATTAAAAATTAATCTTTTTTTAATTACACCAATTAAAGCTCAATAGTTTATAAAAGTATGTTCTTCATTACTTACATACTTTTTAACATTAAGTGATGTTGGGATTTATTAACAATGATTTTAAAATTATATCTTTCAAATGAAAAATATTTGAAGATATTAAATATTTTAAACATATATTTACAAGTTTTTGAACTCTTAATTTTAATTTTAAATATTTTATTTAGTAGCACCACCCTTTGGTGTATACAATAAATAACTAGCATAGAAGACCTTCAGTTTGCTTCAAGAATAATATGTTAAACAAGTCATTGGAATGTAACAAAAAAAAAAATAGTACAATTTGGATGAATGCATGTAAGCATAAATGGAAATAAAGATGTCTGGATAAATAAATCCAGACAACATCAGATACCTCTTCATTTAATGCTAAATAAAAATGCTTAAGAACTTTGTTCACATTAGCAACTATGAATAGCAGATTGTGCAAGTTTTAGTTAATGCATAGAAACCACAGCAGACACAACAAGAAACTTGAGAAGCACAAGAATACATGATAAATTGGACAAGCTCTAGTAGATATTTCCATCCATCCTTGCATCACATTTATCCACTTTGTTTTTATCTTTTGTGAAATAGAAGTGATTCAAGATGTAAACAAGATTTTGGTGTGATTTTCTGGGTATTAAATTTAAGGTCCAAAGTGGAAATTTTATATGTCACAAATAATTATGAATCATCTAACAATCAAAAAGCTTGGGTTCATTGAATCACCAACTTCATAACTACAAGCACATATTCATACATACAAATTCAACTCTATAAAATTGTGATCCCACAATTGATATCTATGAAGTAAATAAATAAAAAGAGTAATCATAGGAAGGTCAAAGGATGGTGTTTAATTTATAACTGTGATCAATGTTGTGTTTTGTTTTGTTTTGTTTTTTTTTTCATTTTTCATTTTGTAGTTATGATGTTATTGAATCTCCATAATGAGGCCAGGTCCAATTCCATTAAAAAATTGGCCAGTCCAAGAGTTTCCATCCTTGTCTTTGTACATTCCATCACCATGCATCTTATTCTCAAGCCATCCACCCACATATTTGGCCCCATTTGGCCACTGTTCATACACCACAATGTTCACTAAATCGTTTATAAATTTTAGAACTTTTTTTAAAGACTATGTATATATAGAACAGCAAGTTGTATCAAAATATGTGCATATGTATCAATAAATAAACAACATGTATACTATATAGTTTTTAAGTTCCCAAACATTCCATGTAAAAGAACAATTAATGTTATGTTATTTTTTAATTTTTGATTTTCTTGATAAATCGAAATCTATGGATGTCTGTTGTTCAGGACATGAAATGCTAATTTGCATAAATCAACAGAGTTTACTTTTATGTAGGAGATCTAACAAAATATCATAATATAGCATCAACCAATTATATGCATTTACACACACACATATAAATATACATATATATATATATATACACACATGCAAATGCACAAACAATTTAGCAAGAAGTAGATTGAAATGATTGTGAAAATATATTGTTGGGAGATAAGAGTAGGTTTTGAGAGAACAGACATTGAAATGATTTTTGTATCTCAGTGTATGTATATAATTTCTTGATGAAAAAATATATATATATATATTTAATTTATTTTATATTGTGTTTATAAAGATGCAATGAAATTACATTTATTTAGAAGGCATTAAAGAGAGCAAAATAAAGATATCAAATATACAACACGTCAACATAATGATTTCATATTTGAGTTAAATACATAAAACTATATAATTCATGTGTATCCTCAAAAATAGATAATAACCACACTAGCTATTATAATTTTTTATTATATATATATATATATATATATATTTATTTACACAATTTGAAAATATAATTTTTACAATGAAAACATGACAGATATAAGTTTCCATAATCATATATATATATATATATATAGAGAGAGAGAGAGAGAGAGAGAGAGAGAGAGAAGGATTAAAGATATAATGACCTTCACTAAACAAAGAATAGGATGTGTGGATTCAAACCATGTAAGTTCCAAGTCCGGTATACACATTGTTATTCCATTGTCCATCATATGATGCTCCACTCTCATACTTGAAGCAACCTATTGTCCACCAAATCATGTTCAACACTTGAACTTGTTACAGTTTATTTTTTTCCTTTTTCCTTTTTTATTTTTTAAAAATGTTTATGACTATATCCTGTAAAATAATGTATCTGATATGGTTTTACACAATTCAAGAAATCATAATCCTGATCTTAAAAATAAAGGACATGGAAGAATATCCACTGCTACCATACACCAAAATGTTTTTAAATAAATAAATATGCCAAAGGATTAGTAGGTCCAACTTTGAGAATATTATGTCAGTACAAAGTCTGCAATGTATGTGTGTAAGTGAGTTAAACAATGTTCATAAATTCCATACCAAGTATAATCAATTATTATCATTTCAACTTACATCATGTATCTACAGTAAATCAAATTATTATCACTTAAAAAAAATTAAAGATGATAATATTGAAATACTAACTTGCAATGTGGACTTTATGATTACAATCTGAAAACTTACATCTATTTATTCATTGTGCTAAACAGTAAAAACAAAATGCCTCAGCAGTGACCCAAAAAAATAATTTTTTAGACATAGACATTTTTTTAGTGTAGATTTTTTTTAATTTAAACTAAAGGAAAAAATAATGTGTTATATCCTTGTAACCAAGAAACACACCTTGACCATGCATTTTGTCATATTTCCATTCCCCATTATATTGATAATTTCCATCAATGTACACACCTTTCCCATGACGTTGCCGATTTGGCCGCATTTGTTCTATGAGTTCAAAACACGACATTGTTTGTAAAAAATAGTAATAATAATAACAATAATAATAATGTTCAATAAAACAACCTTATTCCTCTTCTCTTGTGTTTTGTTTGGAATACCTCCTTTTTTATAACATATCATGGGTATTCATAATCTTTTATTCAATGGGATTCATCTCCAAAAAAAATAAAATTAAAAAGGAATTTTCATTAAAAATGTGGAACTCCTCACTCACTCACCAAGTGGGGGATGAGGTGGAGCCCCCCCTCCAGGTGGAGGAGGAGGAGTGGCCGGGACCCCTTCGTCCACCTCTGCAACCACAACCCAATCTCCCTCTGTGCAACCCACGTCAGCACTGCCATGTCAGCTCCTTGGCACTGGTTCATTTTTAATTCATACCAAGTCTTTCTTTCAATTGGTACATTTTATTTTATTTTTCTTTTATAATTTTTTTCCCTTCCCTTTTGCAGTTGCCACCTCAGCAGAGCTTATTTAAATCCAGTACTAGGAACTCTTTTTGCTGAAAAAGTGTCCATGCAGTTTTGAAGCTTTGATGTGATTTTCAAAAAACAACTGATTTTGAAAAAATGACCTTGTAAAAATTCAAACAGCTGTGATTAAACATTCTTTCACAACTTGTGCTTTTAGAATAGATAGATATGTATTATCTTGTAAAAAAATAAGTATATATTTTTTATTTACTTTTACTTGATTGAAACTATTGTTTATACTATAAATATACCTCTAAAAAAGTTATGTATAGTGAAAGTTGAAATGAAGTTGTTGCTATATGAAAAAAATTAGTTTTTAGTTTTAATCAATATCAATGGAAATAAAAATAATAATAGCAAATTAAAAAAAAAAAAAAGAAAAAAAAAAAAGAAGAAGAACAAGAAGCACGGCCTACAATTTATCATAATCCTCAGCACGTAAATCTTATAGTACTTATGAAGCATTAATGTTTTTGTAAATCAAAAGTTTTCTATATGAATGTTCAATGTGCATTTTTATATAACATTCATCATGATTTTAAATCAAAATATGTCAACTACTTAAATATAATTTTATTATTTTGCAGTTACAAGATTCTTAATAGAATAACAAGTTTAAGTACATCACTAGACAGCATTATTTCTACTTCATGTTTTTTTGACTTATATTGAAAATTATCCATACGCAAATTAGATATTAATAAATTTTGTTTAAGTACAAGCTTAGAATATAAATAGAAAATTGTTAACACTAAATCCCCAATTGATATTGCTATACCCCATGATCTCTGTGTAGACAACTAGCTAATAACATGTCTCTTTCTTTTGTGCATTTCTTCCTTTCTTTGCTTTAAGAAAGGGGAGTGGTTGAGAGAGAGATAGTGAATAATTTATGAAAAAACAAGTTGCAAGCTATTTTTAAAATATATATATATATATATATATATATATATATATATTTGCCTTAAAATTAGTGTAACTAAAATTTTGATTTTATTATTATTATCATTATAATTTGGCTACCAAAAACACACAAAAATACATTTTTTAATTCATTCTAATCTTGGGTCAATATTGGAGTTAAATGTTAGACTCTCAAATGCGCCCTAAGCATAGAAAGTCTTATAGAGGGTGCATGGGGTGTAGCAATGTGAAATTGAAATATAGCATTAACAATTCTCTATAAATATATAATTTATTAATTAATTATCATTAAAGAATTAAAATAATTGAATATGTATTAAAATTTGCTTAAAACAATGTAGATAAAATTAGAAGCAAGATTTTCAAACATACAAATCTATCTACTCCAACTTTTGTGACAAAGAATGGTTTGGTTTGAACTTCATCAAATATAAGTTCACAATTAAGTCAAAACCTTGTTAAAATGTATTTGTAATTTCATATCAGTAAACTTGTTCATGTCATGCAATCACCATAATGAAAGATTGTACATAGAATTTTCAATGTAAATTGACACATTTTTGCAAGATAGAAAATTGATGGTAAAAGGAAAAAAAAAAAAAAAAAAAAAAAAAAAAATTGCATCCTAATTAATACATTGCCTTTTAAATTTTTTAAGAATAAGTTCATCTCAAGTAGTTTGGGCTTACCATATGTTGCACCAGTTGGATAAAAAAATTTCCCAGCTCCTGAGATGCATTCTCCTGTTACATTCAAAGATTATAATATGAATTATAATATGGAGGAGTTTTATGATAACAATTTTCATGTGCTTGATAATGTGAATTCATTCGTCAAATTTCAAGAGGACATAATGTGTCCTATATATATATATATATATATAGCTGTTTGGAAAATTTTGAATAACTTTATTATTTACATACAAATCTTGAGTAATCAAATTTGTATAATGAAAAGGAAATGGGTACAGAATTTGATAATGTGTTTTGAGAAACACTATTAATATATAATTAATAAAATGCAATGATTTTTCAGGGATTTTCTTTTCAAGTGAATGATATGAAAAAAATGTTTAAGATAAAATCTCTTGTAAATACAGTGTGAATAAAATGTTGTACAGTAACTACATTATAATCAAACAAACACAAACAGTAATCTCTTGATATTTAAATTCAAGTTTTGGTAAAAACATTACAGTCTTGTAAAGTGTTTCTAAAGCTTGAAAACATCATGTAAATACTGACATCAAGTTTAATACTTGAAAACTATATTCAAATCTTATTTTTTGATATTTTATCAGAACTCATCCCAAAGATATTAGGGTTTTGTGAGGTAAATAATCCCTGAGAATATGATGTCAAGGAACAGGGCATGACTTCCAAAGAATCAAATTATAGTAACAATACTCATACCAACTAGCATTTAATCCTCACTCTATGTACATGATTACAATCCTATCTAATAAGAACAATAATAGAGGTTGTTTGAAAGGATTTTTTTTTAAATTAAAATTAAAAACATAGTGACATTACCTTCAGATTTATTTACCAACACGTTGGAGACTATTGGTTTTTTGTTGGGACCTTTTTTGGCAACCATGGTTGTGAACAAGACTACAAATCAGCTTGTGCTGCCATTCTTCTTCTTCTTCTTTACAAATTTTTGTTGTTATTTTAAAACTACATCACTTGCATTCAACCTTTAGTCATACTTCCATTGGGATGATAAAAATAAAAAAGTTCATCCACCAAAGTTAGGTTCATGCCCACAGCAATTTGGATGCATTAAGATTTTTAAAATTTCAATATGTGAATGTCTTCAAAATACATTTATTCAAAGAAAATTATTGAAGAATTATACTGTTATTTAATTTTAAAATTACAAATTATTAATGTGAATATATCACACTGCAATAAATAAGAGTAAAATTGAATGGTTTTACTCACAATATGATGCATGCAAGACATACATTATTTTAAATATTATTATTATTATTATTATTATTATTATTATTAAAATATCATGAAGATAATACATGTAAATATAAATATTTATATACATTTCTTACACATACATACATACATACACACACACACACATAAATATATATATATATATATCCACTTTACATATGTATTTTAAAAAAATGATGTCTGATTGTAAAATTCTCTGATTGGCTAAATTCTAATTCTTAAAGGGTAATTGTTAACTTCAGTTAATTCCTTCACTGAATTCCTACTCACATATTATTAACTGAATATATATAAATTTCTAACATAAGAAATTTCAAATCATCAACCTTTATTCAATTATATATTTATTTATTCTTCTGGTTTCTTATCTTTACCCTTTATTACTTTTTACTTTTTACTTTTCATGAATGGTAGTTTATGTTCAAGTATAAAAATATCAAAAAGTATTAAAAATGAATAATAAAAATTCCAATGTATGATAAAATTATTATGAATCAAATGTCTAGTTTGAAAAAATATATATAATAAGAATAATTATTGTACATACACCCACTGCATGATTCTTTTATGAAAAACTCTTGTAAGAATTCTCAATACTTTTTCAAATCAAATAATTTACCATTTAGAAGTGGTCATACGGTGGTGCAAAGTTAATTGTGGATGCCAAAGGAGTTAGCAAGCACAATCACCATCCAAATCATAGATGCATTGTGCAAGGAAGAGTTTTATTATAGCCTTTGAAGCCGTAGAAATGTTTGTGATTTTTGACAAATTATGTGAGATTCCAACTTCTTCAACATTATACAAACTTCCATCACTCAACATTATTTTGCAACATCTAAATGAAATGAGAATTTTAGCATTCATCATTAATGTTAAATACAAATGGTTAAAAGAAAATATCATGCATAATTGCTTTTGTGGATTCTTTTTTGTTTTTGTTTTTTGTTTCAAGGTTTTTTGAAGAGTACTCAAGATGATATATATATATATATATATATATATATATATAATTTAAGAAAACTAACTAGAGTTTTAAAATCATAAACGTATGTTTTTGTTTATACATTACTGTTGTTATAAAAGTTACTTAAACTTTAATTAAATCATTATTTCACGCTATATGAATATTTGATTAACTTAGTATGCATTAAATAAACTTTCAAACAAATTTACTAGTGGTAATTCATTGTTAGAAAATATGTTAAAATTCATACTACTTCCCCTTCTATTAAGTTTTAAAAAGTAGATTTATTAGACATGATCGTATATTGCAATTCAAAAAATATATATTGTTTATTTCTTGGTGAAAAATAATATATGAATCTACATGTGATATTTTCTTATATAAATATATACAAATATAATCTCCAACCCCCCTTTTCTGTCTTTTTATTTAATATATCTTCCATACATATATATTGTGTATGAATTTGGATTTTTTTAACAATTTTTTTAAAAAATAAATTCATGTAAAAATAAAATAAAATAGATTCAATAGACTTTATTTATTTATGTAAGTTTATTCATCTATTTGAATTTTTGATATTTTTTAAATTATTATAAAAACTTCATTCTCAACCAAAGAAAATTTGTACAACTTTTAAAGATTGTAATATTTTTTGGTAAAATTCTTATGATACATTTTTATCACAAAAACATCTCTATTATATACAAATATCAGTGATTTAAGGTTATTGCAACAGTTATACAATCATTTAGCTTACTAAATAAGTTTTTATCTTGTACTGTCAGGTGATAATATGCACAAGGAGATGCATAATTGCTGGCTAAATCTTAGAAACTTTCATTTTTGTAAAAATAATTTTTACTTAACACATCCTCTTATCTAATTATTTCATGATACAATTATTTCCACTTTGAACTTGAAATCTGAACAAAAGATTGCAGTTCGAGAGAAACAATAGCTCTCTATTATAAATTGAATAAAGATTATTGAACTTCAATTCATATGACAAACATGATATACACAAAACATCATGTTGCATTTTATTTTATTTTTAAATTATATATATATATATATATATATATATTAGATTGTATCTAATCAAAAGAAAAATAAAATGTATGATTAAGAAATATAAAATCTAATATGAAAAAAACATCACTATTCTAATTACTATGCTAATATTGGGTAAACGAGGCTTCATTAATTACTGAAGTGCTTTTATTTTATAGATGCATTTTAGTTTTGAAATTTATCGTTCCCAAGAATGATGGAATAATAATTATACTCCAGCTACAAAACACAGTCAAGTAAGTGCACATATAAAAATAATAATAAGAATTAGAATAAGAATGTAAGAAATAATAATATTATGAATGTTAGAACTGATAAATAAACCAACAAATAAATGAGGAACTTGGTACCAATGTTACCATGTGTAGACACCGCCTGAAAGAGAGTTTGAAACTGCTGCGTAGTAATAGGGCATATATATATATATATATATATATATACATATGTAAGATTTGTTGATTTTATCAAGTCCATCCCCAAACTGGTCATGAGAAAATGAATCATGCTGAATGGAAGGCAGGATAAATGAATGAATGAACAAATGAATAAATATGAGGGGGGAGGGTGGGGGGGGGGTATATCTTCCTTTCATCCTTCTTCTTCCCCTTCCCCCCAATTGCCAACAAGCATACAATGAAATCACTACGTGCCTCATAAATGAATAACAGCCAGAAAAAGAGACAAAGAAAGCGAGAAAGGGTAAGAACATACAAAGCGGGAGGAGGATGCGAAGGATGAACATGTCATTGGATGAATGAGAGGTGGGCGTTGGAGCGCCAGGGGGACGGAGGGGGACGGAGGGGGACGGAGGGGGGATTCCCATTCGCCGTTTCCGAAATTCTCTCTCTCTCTCTCTCTTCTCTCGGATCGGTAACACGATCTCCCGAGGGACCCGGCTGGCCTCCCTGCCTGCCTGCCTGCCAGCCAACGAGCAAGCGCGGGAGTGGGAGGGAGGAAGGAAGGAAGAAAGGAATCGATTTCTCTCACACACACACACAGACACACGGGAGGGAGGGCAGGGTGGGGGGGATCGCGCGGTGGGGATTGGGGGGGAGGGGGAGGCTGCGTGCGGCGCGATGGGATGATGATGATGATGTAGTAGTAGTAGATGATGTAGTTGGTGATGTTGATGCTGGGTTTCCATAGAACCAGGGTTGGGAGGGGGTGGGGGTGGCCCAACTTGGCTTCTCCTTCCTTCTTCCTCCTCCTCAACTGGCCAAGGGTGTTAACCCAAGCCTCCTCCTCCTCCCTCTTCCTGATCCTTCTGGTACCCCTGGTACTGGCACTACTACAACTACTCCTACTACCACTTCAACCACTGTTCCTCCGCATTCATTCCCACTTATATATTGCTTATATTTAGCCCCCCCCCCCCCCCGTTCGTCGTCATGCCCTGTCCTGCCTCCCCCCTCGGCTTCCCCTTTACCTCACTCCCTCCTCCTCGTCCTCTTTCTCTCCCCCCTCCATTCCATCAATTCCAGTGTTGTTGATCAGATTATTCCTTGCAAGCCCACACTCCCCCTCTCCCCTCCTCCTCCTTCTCTCCCTTCTGCGCTGCTCTTTCTGAGTTTGTTTGGCCCCCTGTGCCACTCTTGTGCTGCACAGGAGGTGTGTTGATGCTGCAGGCCACTTGCGCACTTGGCGTGATCCATTTTCATTAGGGTTTGGGAAAGAGAGTATGGGGGAGGTGGAACAGGATCTGTAAGTGCACGGCAGCAGCAGCTGGTCGCTATGTCGATGGCGGGCGCAGATGATGGATATGCGGATCACCGCACGCTCTACTGCAATGATCCGGATCCAGCTCGCCACAAGCCATTTAAATTTGTGGTACGACCCGTGGGGTCATCTCACGGATCTTGTTATCACTTACCGTCACTTGTTGCCTGATGCAAAGACGAGAGTGAACTTCTAGTGTAGTAGGTGATTGCAAGTTGCAAAACGATTCTTGCTAAACTATTTGATCTCAAAGGGAGCGTGCATATGATGAGAAGTCGAGGCAAGAGTCGGATGAGATATGACGAGGGTTTAGGGTTCTTTTATGGTGAAGTTTTGAGTATTATAGAAACAGTTCTCGGGTTTTAATCTCAGTGAATACCAAATCAGGAAGTGGAGGTTATTGGACCCAAAAATCGCTGATGTTTTGGCATGTTTATTGGGAACGTATAAACTTAAACAGTGTGGATGGCGTGAGAAGTCCATGATTTACTGACGCCATTCGTGCATCGACTTTTATAATTTTTCTCTTTGGATTAATTTTACACTCCACTCGTATTACTCGAATCGTTAGTTTGCCATAGTCCTAGATGATAGGTACATCCTGGCTCCCTTAGGGCCTAGAGAGTCTTATTCCAAAGCTCTAGTGGTTCAAGCCACAAACAACGAGAAGACAGTGGCACAAGTCAGATTTTACCTCAAGGACTGCATTCTTTTCTTTACTTTAGCAGAACAAGAGTGGGATACAATAGCAAAAGTTGCTGGATCTGGGATCCTGGCGTAATTTATTTTGAACCTCAGACCACCTCTACGAGAAAGGGTTTGCAAGGTTTACTTGTCACAAAGTTGCTGGGCACTTGATCGGGTGATCAATTGAAAACATCGTGAATCCTTTCTTTCGATACATCATATACTCCAACAATCGCAAACCTATGCTGAAATTATTTTTACACTCTGCAGCCCTAACCTTATTCATGTCTCCAGAATATTTCCATTGGAATTTGTACTCTGACCTCTGTCTTGGATTTCTTACTATAATAAGCTTCCCTGGGTACATTATATTATTTTTTATCATATTTTCCGTTGTGATTCTCTTGCAGAACAATTCGGTTTCGACAACGAAATACAATATATTTACTTTTTTCCCGAAGGGTCTGTTTGAACAGGTATTTACATACTGCTTCCTGGTAGGATATTATGTATGAAATGAGCATATTTTTCTTGATGCGTGTTGCCCATTATGAGGTCATTTCTCATTGACAATGTTGATTACGATCTTTTATAGATTTCAATCATCCATGGAAGATAGTGGGCCGATATGTACGTTAATTAGACTGCCCTACGGGTTTTCCTTCGATTAAAAGTAGTTGTTGATGCTCTCTCCTATGCAGTTTCGGCGTGTGGCTAATCTGTATTTTCTGATGATAGCAATTTTATCATCAACTCCTGTCAGGTAAGATGACTGGATCTCTCTGGGACCGAATATGTGAAATCGGTGGTGAAGGCGTAATTTTAGAACCGTCCGTCGTCAGCTGCGAACTTGTGAAGTTCAGTATTCTGTTATTTGACAAGGTGTTTCAAACTACAATCACAGTGTTTATACACATTATGCTAGTATGCTAATGGTGACGCACCATGCTACCCAACAGGTTCAATGATAAGAAAGAAAAAGAAAGTTATATCTTACTAGATGATAAATGCACCGTATACTAACAATAGTTTCTTCTGATAAAGCATTATTGCCTCGTGTAAGTCGTGCACAAGTTTTTTATTGCTTTGGTTCCCTGCCAAGTTGAACTCGTAACTTGAGGAATATGGAGTTAAACTTTTTTTAGTGCTGTTGATGGGTTTATGAGCATCAAGTTGGGTCATGTTGTTAATTTCATACCTTTAACCAGGCATTTTGTTCACCGCACACAAGGCATATCCTGAAGAGACTGCTTTTTATGACTCTTTTGTCCATGTGTAGTCCTGTGCAGCCAGTTACCAATATTGTTCCGCTGGTTTTGGTTCTTTCTGTTTCACTTATCAAGGAGGCCTTCGAGGATCACGTAAGCAATTATTCTTGTAGGCTGGAGTTGTAGAATGCATTTTTCCTCGATTCATGTAATGAATCGTGTCGTAGTTATCCTCTATGATGCAGTTTTTTACAGTTAATCATACTTGAGCCATAGAAGGTTGAATTTTTTGGTTAGTTTAGAGAATTATTGTCTCATTTGAATAGAACATGTTCTTTGACGCCCCTTCATTTCATGTCAGTATCGATGGTCCACTTATTTTATTGTAGAAGAGCTTGATTACGCCAACCTTTTCATAACCGTCTGCATTAGTAATTATGTGAATCTGTTTATGACGCTAGTCTGAATCGATTTAGCATAAATGGTCTTGCTTCTGTCATGCATTGTGCTTTATACTTTGCTACATATGAATCGCTAAACTAATTTTCTTGCTTAATTCCAGAAACGATGGATGAATGACAAGGTGGTAAATTCGAGCTTGGTTGATAGGCTCGAGGGGAGGATGTGGGCGAGGGTTCCATGGAGCGAGGTTAAAGTTGGGGATCTTGTTCGGGTATGCCTCTTGGCTTATTGAGCTTTTTACTATATTGTTATCTGGATTTAATTCTCATTGGATATTTGGTAGCTCTAATGTTGTTGGTATTGGGAGTACTTGGCATTGAATGGAACAGTATGTTCGATTTCAGGTGCAATTGTATCTAGTTTTTTCCTTATTCCTGTTCGATTTTTCCTGACAGGTAACGCAAGACCAGTTTTTCCCAGCGGACCTGCTACTACTTGCAAGCACAAACGCGGATGGTGTCTGCTACATCGAGGTATTTTCACTTCAAAATTTACTTTTGAATTTGAGAAATAGGCCACCGGTTTCGGTTGCTAAGAGCGTTTAATAACAAGTTAATCTAAGTGATTTGGGTCAAATCAAGTAAACATGATTTGTAAACATGACAAACGAAGTTACTCTTGTTTAAAGTACGATCTAGTTTTGAAACTGTTGTATTCTGCTAAGTTTATTGTCCTGGGAGCAGACTTCAAATTTGGATGGAGAAACAAACCTCAAGATTAGAAAAGCACTTGAGCGAACTTGGGATTATATTGATGAAAAGAAAGCTGTGGATTTCAGAGGTATTTTTTAACCTGATCCGTGTATGCCACGGTAGATACTACTTTGGTTTGTTTGGTATTGTGAAGCTTGTGAAGAACCACTTACGAACGGCAGTCTGCGCCCGTGTGCACGTTGGGACTAGTTAACTTCGTCTGAGAATGTAATATTCTTTTCATAAGTGCTCTATATGGTCGACACCTTTGCTTGTGTAAATAACCTTTCAATGCTTTCGATTATTGTTATTCTTCATGAGGCAGGTGTAATTGTCTGCGAGCACCCGAACAATTCGCTCTACACCTTTACTGGCAACCTCGAAATCAGCAAACAAACAATTCCAATTACTCCAAATCAGATTCTTCTTCGTGTAAGTTTGAATTTTGCAGCTATTTCAATTATTTCATTTGCAGTTAGGTATGTTAAAGTTATCTGCTAGCATTTTTTTTTGTTTTGTTATAGTCATGATTATCTTGTCGTGGGTGCTTGGCAGGGATGTAGCTTACGAAACACGGCATCTATTGTTGGCGCAGTGACATTCACTGGGCATGAGACAAAGGTTAGTTCCGAATGAGACACGTGTAAAACCACTGAATTGTTTCTCTTTTGTTCAATATCACATTATTAGATGGAGGAGCTCTGAGCTCCATTTGCAGTGATATCTTATGTCAGCAATGTATCATTCAGAATCTATGTTTCCTTTTCATGTTAAGGTGATCCCAGTTATCTAAGTTTTGAAGTACGTTCCCTTCGACATGCCCAATGAGTTTAACTGTGTTTCGTTTTGGTGGCAGGTGATGATGAATTCCATGGATGTGCCATCAAAGCGCAGCACGTTGGAGCTAAAGTTGGATATGTTAATTTTGCTGCTATTCGGGATACTATTCTCGATTTGTTTTATTGGGGCAATTGGCAGGTTGGATCTTATTTAATTCTTTTGACTACGATTTGTTTCATATGCTAATTACGATTCATGCTACACAACGGAAAACGTAATCAGTTCCGATTCTAGTTTCAAAGTCAAATTTGAAGTAGACCCTTGTTCAGTCTATGTTAAATACCTGCGGTTTTCTTTGCAATGGGGGCATATATTAATGAATCTCGATTAAAGCTTGCCTCCACTTTAATTTGAATAAGTAACCGTGTCATTTAAATTTTTTCAAAGCTCGAGGGATGAGTGTAAGGACTGATACGAATGACCTAAAGATCTTTAATACGTTTGAAACTACTCAGCACCTCAAAAGTGTATTATTCGCTGATTAGTAGCTTCTGTGATTTTGTTGTTTGTTGAAGACGTCTCTGGAACATTCTATTCAACACCGAACATTTCCTTGTTCGAACCCTTCTCCGGGAAAATGACACTGACAAAGTTTGCTAGAATTTTTTGTCTCACGTGACTTCAAAAGCTTAGATTAGCTCCTGAAAGTGATCATGTTTTTATTAGCGGTTTAAGTGGTTCAGCAGTTTAAGTGTAATACTCGGTTATTTTTATTTTATTATTTTCCACTTCTTTGTTTTTTCTAAAAGTGGGTTGATCGTCGTCTATGCAGCGGCGTGTTTATCAGCACGGAATATTGGTATTTGGGATTGATTCTTCCTGGCATTGAAGGGCAGTATGATCCTGGGAATAAGTTTCTGGTATGATAACTTCTTTTCCCATCATGTTTCTTAGCTACTTCCTCAAACGTTAAAAATTTGTGCCTGAAGGGTCTGTTTTTTGTATCTTTGATTTGAGCTGCTTTTAAATTTGAGGATTTGTTTATTTTGATTGTTGTTGAAAGTGGTTGTAGACTCGTGTGAGTCGTGCAATTTCAAGACCACAGAGAGTATAATGGACAACGTGATGGACCCAATTCGTTGTCTAAGTTTGTGTTGTGTGCGGTGAACAGGTGGTGATATTGACATTTTTTACTCTTTTGACCCTATATGCAAATATCATTCCCATTTCCTTATACGTGTCTATTGAGGTATGATTATCTTTATTTTATCTTTACGTGTTACACAGAGCTGCATAGTCCTGTTTTAAACTCCTCCTCTCTTTTATTCCTTAGATCATGTTTTTCAAAGCATCATCTTATCCTATATTCACTGGTATTATGTTATGTGATTGGGTGTCGTCAATCTTCTGTGGCCGGTTTTTGCGTCTTGGTAGTTTTCTTCTCGTCTCCACTTAATATTTCTTTGGTTTCGAACGATGGTAAGTGTGCACTTTTTGGCTGTTTTTCAGATGATCAAATTCATACAGTCAAATTGGTTCATCAATAACGATGCTTCTATGTATCATGAAGAGAGTAACACACCTGCCTTGGCACGCACATCAAACCTGAATGAGGAGCTCGGCCAGGTTAACTTTTTTTGCAATTCACCTCATTTGTAGTCATTGTTGTCTTTTTAGATTTACAAGTAAAATTACTAAGTCGATTTGCTGCTTGCGTTTGTCCTACTTGATCTGCAGATTGAATATATATTTTCGGACAAGACAGGTACTCTGACGAGGAATTTGATGGATTTTTTCAAGTGCTCCATAGCTGGGACCATGTACGGGACGGGGATTACAGAAATTCAAAGAGCAGCTGCACGTCGAAATGGTTCACTGCTCGAAGAGGTAATTCGTTATAAGGGGAATGTTAATTTAAAAAGTAGCTCAACCCGTGGCTGTCATTTGTTGTCAAAGTTACAGGATACATATCTTTGAACATTTATGAACGTATTTATGATCTCATTCCTTGGTTTCGATATCCTTAAATCTCCTAAGTTACTTGATACTGGCTCTTCTATTCCCTGTGTCAAATCAGAGACAAAGTATGGACCTTGGAATTGATGATAATTTGCGTTTTGAAACTGATATATTTCTTCTTAGTTATTCGGGTCGATCGAATACTGTTTTTCGTTGGCATTTATAAGCCTACCACGAATGGGAATGTTCTAGCTGAAAGATATTGCTTAACAATGTGTGTTTTCTAGAGTTTATAACAAATTTTGGGACTGATATTTTTCTTTCTTGATTATATTTAAGATTTCAAGATCAGAAGATGCTATATGTGAGAAAGGCTTTAACTTCGATGACAGGAGGCTGATGAAAGGCCAATGGCGTAATGAGAGTAACGCAGATGTTTGCCTGGTAACACGTCATTTATGGTCATTCTTGGAGTAATGCTGCATAATGTCTATTTCATTTTTGTAGCTTACTTTTTTAAAATAAAAGAAAAGTAAAAGAGATTTTGTCTTAAATAGCTAGAGTATACTCGTTTGTGCTCACAGGAGTTCTTCAGATGTTTGGCCATCTGTCATACTGTGCTTCCTGAGGGCGGAGACACTCCTGATAGCACCACTTATCAAGCAGCCTCTCCTGACGAAGCTGCTCTAGTCACTGCCGCCAAAAACTTTGGTTTTTTTTTCTATTTGTAAGGCCTTCTCTTTTTGAATGTATTGTTTATTATTGGCGGGAATTTCAATCTTTCGGTAAACGTTCAGTTAGTTTCTTAGTTTAGAGATTCTGTGTGCACAATATTTTGTAAGCTTTAGAACCTTTCTCTTTTCAGTGCTGACATTCGTGTAAAAATACGTATAGTGAATGCGTTAAGCTTCCATCTTCATGATGGGAAACATCCTGTAAGTTGGTCCTGTTTCTACTGCAATTGCGCTTTTTTGGCTTGAGTTTATGTTCAGTACAGGTATTGGTGTCAGAGAGCTTCTTGAGTACAACGTTTCTAATTGATTATTGTGAGTCTCATATAGCACTTTTTGTACTCAATGTGCCAGGCGGTCACCAACCGCAATTCGTGTGCGTGAGGCTCATGTTGAGAAGCTTCACAAACTGCAAGATGTAGAGTACGAGATTCTGAATGTTTTGGAGTTCAACAGGTGTGTTTGCACTGTTTACTATTTCTTGGGTTGTCATCCTTTCCGATTCTATGGCAACGGGTAGAGACGTCAATGTCTCCCTTATTTAGTTTGGCTTGTATTATTGGGTTTTACAAGTCTTATCGTACTTTTTGATATGAATCGATAGTTAGCTGCATATTATATGTACAACGTCCTTATACGTGTTATAATTGTTGGTGTATCAGCGTTCGGAAGCGGCAATCTGTGATTTGCCGATATCCAGATGGTCAACTTGTGTTGTATTGCAAAGTAAGCTTCTCATATCTACTTTTTAGCTGGTTTTTATACACTACCTATGGTCGCTAGAATTGGAAGATATTGTATGGATAGATTAACGTTTGAGTTCTACCATAGTTGTCTGTTATCTTATTTGTTTTATTGCAATACATTATTTGAACAACTGCGAGTACTGATGCGACTATTCTTTTTCAGTAAGAATTTGGATTCGAATCTCAAATATCTACCGCATTGTATGAGTGCTGTCTATGCCTTCGCAGTTCTCATTACCTAGAGCAACGCGTGCTCTCTTATCTGTCGCGTCTAGTCCTTATTACTTCATCTGGAACAATTGGGAAGCCATCGGAGGTGGTATATTTTGACATATTGTTAATGATTGCTTACAGGGTGCTGATACAGTGATATACGAAAGAATGGCCGAAGGTGCAAGTAACCAGTACAGGGAGGTCACGCGTGACCATCTTGAAAAGTTCGGTGCTGATGGGCTTCGAACCCTATGTTTGGCGTATCGTCGTTTGACTGCTGAGGTTTACGAAAGTTGGAATGAAAAGTTCATTCAGGCCAAATCAGCACTACGGGACAGGGAAAAGAAAATAGATGAGGTCAGTAATGAACTTGGGTTGTTCCCTTTAAAGAGGGTGGAATCAATGGTTATCTAGGGTTAGTCATTACGACGGAAGAGTCTTGGTTCATTTGTTGAGGAGCGCATCGTCTAGTGGGTAGTGCATAATGTTTTTCCAAAATTTGCAGTCCAAGATTTTAAATTATCGATTTTTTTTGTTATTTATTGGATTGCTGATATTATTTTTTACTCCCTGTCGATGAAGTTGATATGATGTCTGTATTCATTCAAGGGTTTGTTTTGAAGTGCTGGTTCACTAGAACGTTATCGTATGCTGCTAGTTTTTTTTTTTTTTCAATATTAGTTGTGCTGATTTTGATTTCTGGCCGACACATGAAATGTTTTGCAGGTTGCAGAACTTATCGAAAAAGATCTAATTTTACTTGGTTGTACTGCAATTGAAGATAAATTGCAAGAAGGAGTTCCTAACTGCATTGAAACCCTGTCAAGAGCTGGCATCAAAATATGGATGTTGACTGGTGACAAGCTGGAAACGGCCATCAACATCGCATATGGTTATTTCTAACTCTCTGTGACTAAACCCAAGGTGTTAAGGGTGTTTTCATGTTCAAACTAGATCACGCCTTATGTTATTAGTATTGTTAAAACTTATTTGTGGGTTTAGCTTCGTGTTGAAGGGGTTTTGAATATTAATGTTACGAGTGTCCAGCTTGCAGTCTTGTCAACAACGAAACGAAACAGTTCGTGTTGAACTCAGATGTGAAAGAAATCCGAGACATTGAAGACAGGGTGCGTTGCCTTGCCATCTCTTCGTGAAGTTGGGAGTTTATTATCATGTTACTATCAATCCCGTATTGTAGATAATGATTAACTCGAGTTCATCGTTACCAATTTTCGTCTCGGCCTTTCAAAGTCTCGAACTGTTTGAGTGCAGGGTGATGCTGTGATGACTGCTCAAGCTGTGAGTTCTCTTGTAAAGCAGCGCATGGAGGAATATCTTGATGAGGCTGAGAGGGTCGCTGATGATGTGGATATGGCTCTTGTTATTGATGGAAGATGTCTTATGTATGCTTTGGATCCACTTATTGGTCGAGGAACATTGCTCAAGCTGTGCATGCTGTGCAAAGCAGTAGTATGCTGCCGAGTTTCACCTTTGCAAAAAGCGCAGGTATTCCTCTTGGCCTATTCTTAGGCCCAGCCTGCAAATAAATACCACTGCTAAGACTGAACAAACGAGATGTGATTTTACATCACGTTTGCGTAGTGTTAAAGATAACTCCAGTTAGTTCTTACTGACTTGCAATATATTCTTTGTGTTTGCCATCCATTCGTGTTCTGGGATTTATTGGAGTTTGTGAAAAATGTTTCTCGGTTGAATTCATATTTTCTGAGTATTCACACTTTTGAAAAGTGTAGTTCAAGTTCTAGCTTAGGTATGTTATGTAATTTTCATTATTCGTTTGCACTTCCATTTTTGTATGCAGGTGACAACACTCATCAAGGACGATGCTAAGAAGATTACCTTGAGCATTGGTGATGGAGCCAATGATGTTAGTATGATTCAGGCTGCTCACATTGGAGTAGGAATTAGTGGGCAAGAGGGAATGCAAGCTGTGATGGCAAGCGACTTTGCAATTGCCCAATTTCGATATCTGAAGGAATTGCTTTTGGTGCATGGGAGATGGTCCTATATTCGAATAACAAAGGTGGGAATGATTTCACTTGTACGAATTACTTGCTCTCTATTAGTTTTTGAAGTTAATATGTCAGCTTGAGGAACTGTCAACAGAACTGGTATCCACTTTGTTGATTACCAAAATTTATGCCAGTTTTTAATCTCGGTTTTGGTGATTATGGTAACAGGTGGTTGCGTATTTCTTCTATAAGAATCTGGCTTTTACACTTACTCAGTTCTGGTTTACACTCTACACGGGATTTTCGGGCCAACGTTTTTATGATGACTGGTTTCAGTCCCTCTACAATGTTCTCTTCACCGCTCTTCCAGTGATCGTTGTTGGTATCTTCGACCAGGTAATGTAGTCATTTGTTCCTTTGATATTTGTTCGAGCGGACTGACGTTGTGATTCCTTCATATCTTGACTTGATTAGGTTAGGTGTTGGTTTACCAGGAATGTTTGATCTAGGCTTTAAATTTTCGACGGATTGTAGTTATTGATTATTTTGTCCTGTTCCTTTAACTAATCTCATATATTTACCCTGTTCTACCTCTGGCAGGACGTGAATGCGAAGACATCTATCAAATTTCCAGAGTTGTATAAAGCAGGAATATATAATCTGTTTTTCAAGTGGCGTGTGATTATGCTGTGGCTTGTAGGTGCTACTTATCAGTCGCTGGTGTTCTTCTATTTTCCGATTTCTGTCGCCCAGAGTGCCCAGAATTATTCAGCAAGAATGCTTGGAGTCTGGGACGTATCTACTCTGGCTTACACTTGTATATTAATGACAGTTAATCTACGTCTTATGATGGCCTCCTCATCTCTGACTAAGTGGCACCTTATTAGCGTTGGTGGCAGTATCGGAGGTTGGTTTGTGTTTGCTTCTGTGTACTCTGGGATCCAGGTTAGCTTCATACAGGTAATGATTGTTCACCGAGGTCTCTGATTTTCAATTTTAATTCCTGAAACGAGGGGTTTATTTTAGTGTGGCGCGGGTATTGCTTAGACTTCCTGAATCCATATGCTTATAGAAATGATGATAGAACATATCATCAATGACGTTGTAATTTTGGAAAAAAATGTTGCGCTGGTATATACGGTGTATATGATATCTATGGTATTTACATTGGTATAAGTGTATACGTCACTATGTGTATTTATGTTAGCATTGAATGGAGATGCGTACTATATTTCTTTATTGGAATCGCAATCTAATTGACGTTTCATGTGCAGGAGAACATTTACTGGGTGATGTTTACTTTGTTAGGCACCTGGTTCTTTTGGTTTCTCTTGCTGTTGGTTCCCGTTGTTGCTTTATCTTTGGATCTTCTTGTTTTACTGTAAGTTACTCCTTGAAACCTAACAAAAACCTAACAAACCTCTTCGTTAGGTTTCAATGTGTCTGGAATTTTGCACTTCGAATCTTTTATATTTTGATATGTACTTTCATGTTGGCATTCTTTGTTGTTTTTGGCCCGCAGTCGTTTGTCATGTCTTAATATTTTATATATTAGATGGTTTTGTGACAGAACGGAGTGCATTGAATGGAAGTGTCATTGCTCTGCAGGCTTCTGACTTTGACATGGATGGCTGTGTGCAGTTTTCAACGCTGGTTCTTTCCATATGACTTTCAAATTCTGCAAGAGCATGGTAAATTTGACAGTGACGACTATGAAAGCCGTACATTGCTTGATCATCGACCATCAACTGTAGAAGAACAGAGGAGAATTCAGATGGCACAACTTCCAAAAGAAAGATCTAAACACACAGGTTTCTCGTTTGATTCGCCTGGATTTGAGTCTTTCTTCGCTCAGCAATCTGGTGTGCCTCCACCAGCGAAGTCGTGGGATATTGCACGTCGTGCTAGTATGAAACACCCCCGTCAGAGCACAGGAAGAAAATCCCGACATTGAAATTCTACTTAGATTTTCCCATGGAGGTCAGTGGATCTATTGCACGGTTGTTTCACTGGTTTTCATCTGCTAGCCAACCGCTCTAGAGCAGGGACTTGCGAAATTTAGTTCCGAATTCAGTTAACCTTGTCCATTGCCAGTTCTTCGCCTTCAGGGTCGGAATCGGGCTATCTAAAAGATCTGTGGAAAGATACTTTTGAGGAATTCATTTCCGTTCCTTCAGTGCATTGTTGAAGTGCATAGGTACACTTATTTCTTAGTTTATTTTTACAAAATGAGATGCTCAGTGTTGCGCCTTGAGTGAAAACACGTGCCGTGTAACATTTATCTACATACATTTGTTGTTGATTTTCGTTTGGTGTCTGTTCCAAAACTTCAGCCCAGTTGTATGTCGAATTCCTTTCATATGCCTTGGATTCTAAAACTTTCCATGGTCATGACTGGCTTGAAAGCTTTAGAGAAGACGTTCGCCAGATCAGATTCTTTCAGAGCTTCTAGGTAGTCCATTGGTCGCAGAAAGAAACTATTGTGAGAGCATTTTCTCTTTGGGCGACCAAATCGAACTGGAAGTACCCATACTGAAATCTCGTTGAAGGTGTTCCAATCGTTGAATGCATCTCATCTTGTCTGCTTTTTGAATCACGTCACCTTTCGTAGTTCTTCGAGAACTTTTCCCAACTGGTTCACCTGTTAACAAACAATATACCCAAAGGAAGTCTAACTGTAAGCAAATGTACTATTATTGCACTTATGCTAGTTCCACATGCACATATTGGAGTATATTTACAAAGAAGCCCGCTTTTCTATGATTAAAAGATGAAGGCAATCATTAAACAAAAATGATGAATCGAAAAGAACAAATTCCATCTATTGACTCAAAAGTTCCATGCATTCATCTCCCTAATATTACTTATCTTTTTTATTTTCGCTTGTTAAAATTTTCTGTATAATCTTGTCTTATTGGCTTGTGCAAACAATTAATACAAGCTCTGCAGGCACAAGACATTTCTAAAACCAAAATTGTGCTAATTTTATCTTCACAAATTAAATATTGCAAAAAATTAGATTGCACTTCGAGCTACGGAAATCACGTCTGTTGGACTCCTTATCTACTGCTTGATTTTGTTTTTTTTCTATTTTATTTTATTTTATTTCTTAAAATTATAAATAGAAGCGCCGTTAATAAGACATATGTAGTCAGTATCTTTATAAAGATAAAAGATTGAATGTATTTGACCCTGTTTTCAAAAAACATTTTTTCTGTACCCTTCACTGCATATTTTTTGCAAAAAATAGGTTATTTTTTCAGAAATGAAAGGTAAGTATTCAGACTATAATGAGTAAATTGGAAATGGAATTTGTCAATGTTGCTACAAGATGGTCAAAGTTCCGTTTCAAAGGATGAGATTAGTACGCTGACCTTAGCAGAAGATATTGCCTTCTGAGCTTCTAAAGCCAAATCACGAGCATGCAATTTTTCCTCTGCCTCAAGAACTTTTCTCTTCAAATCCTCAATGAGAATATCCTTCTGGATTAAAGAGGTCGCAGTCTTGTGCTCTTTCGCCTTCACCCATGCACATAGCAAACAACGATATTAATCCCCCAAGTAAATAGAAGAAGCGGGTCTTAAAATCTAAGACTTCTATATAAATTGAAACACTTGATTTTTGAGATGCAATTTAAGAAATAATGTTCAGCTTTAGCATGTATCACTGGCAAAACCAAAATAGCGAAATCACAAACGAAACTTTAGGAAATAATAATAAAGAATTAACAATTAAATAAGTGTTCTAATTCTTGAGCAAGATATAAAATTCAAATAGATGACATAGTTTCACTCAAATAATCTATGAAAATTTAGGATGACAAGTTAGTCTGATCTTCAGATGTTTGATTAAAAAAAACCTCCATAAGTTTGGTTGATTCAAAATGTGCTTGCATTGCAGCCGCAGTTGCTGCCTCTGATTCTTCCAATTTCTGCGAACACAATGCTCATGCATATTGTTATTGATTTGTGACAAGTGAACGCTTTTTTAACTAAAGCTGTATTGAATAGCTCTTATAGTTGGATGTACCCCAATACGATATAATTTTCATCACAGTAATCTCATTAATCTGTCAGGGCTATTCAGCATTAAACATAATTTGGTCACTGCAAATATGTTAGCAATTTTACTATAATCTTTGACAAATAATCTTATTATAGCATGCTACACGCAATAAGAAGACTAGGATGTATCACTGTTAGGTGCTATATTTATGGTGTGATGATGCGGGACTAGCGAATACTGTGATGTACTAATTTGACATTTCCTATCACCTAACAGACGTAGCTAGAGAAAAACCTTCTGTATAGCTGTAACCTTTGCGAGGGCATTATCCCTTTCAAAAGCAATGGATTTCTCTCTGTCTTCGTATAAAGACTTCACACTACTGATCTCCTCGTCCACATGCCTGTCATATACGTACCTTGCTGATAAAGCTGAATAATACTGTGAAATTTGAAGTTAAAAATTATGCAGTGAGAATAGAAATCGCACAAAATAAGTAAGATTAGATGCTGAAGAACTTTCAGCGTGGGCTTAACCTACAAATGTGCATTCGTATTCTGAGCAGATATAATCGACAGAGCCTTAGACTGAGCTTCAACTGAGTATTAGCAGGATGATAATGACCTCAGTAATAGGTCGACGTCCTTCACTCTATGTTGAAGTGATTTACAGGCATGTTCAGCTGCACATTTTGCACTTTTCATTAACTCCAGTTCTTCCTCCATATCTGAAATGGTATTTTCTTGAGAAGTCAGTTCAGTACGCAACTCACATTTCTGCAAACAATGGCAACGTGAAGTGTGAGCTATTAAACGTAATGACAAAAAAAATTGAATCCCCTAATGTTGAAAATGTAACAATCAGTTGAAATTATATCCCTTATTAAGAAATTTGTGGCGGTCGAAACCACTAAGATAACAAAAAACGTCGAATTTAGTCTTCCTGTTATAAGAAGCATCCAATCCAATGCTCATTTCCCTAATTTTTCATCAAAAATAGGACTGACCTGCTCCACCTCGTCATGCAGACGTTTAACCAAGTCAGCTTCAATTACTTTGATATTTGCCTCTGATATGCGGGCTGCATTCTTGGCCTCCACAAGCTCAGTCTTCAGCTGCTGTATCATGGCCTCCTGACTTTCACAAACTTCAATTTTTACCTACAGCCACGTATTTAAACAATCAACTCCTCATGATTGGCATGTCAACAGTAATTAAATAAACTTATTACGGCGGTTCTTGCACGTTTCAGTTGATTCTTAAGGACAAATACGGGATTATTTGAAACAGAAATTATACTCTTAAGTAAGCTCTAAATTTTCTTCATTCACTGCATCCACATTTCAATCTTGTTGTAAAAAATCCCAAAGTTTGAGGCCAATGACTACCTTGATAACGTTCTGAGTCTCTTGGAACTTGAGAGCCAAGGAAGAAGCTTTGGCAGCAAGCCTCTCATTCTCCTTTACTAGGGATGAAAACCGCGCGCAAGTTGCTTCTTCAAGGGCTCTTCGCTCTCTCTCTGCAATGCTAGTCGCATTTACTAGTTCACATTTCAGTGCCTCAACTTCCACTGCTCTCTGTTCTGACGCACTGATCTTCTGCTTTAACTGAACTATCTCCGCTTGCAGGTTTTCAACTGCCTGATGATCACGCAGGGCATGTAAATATAGTGATGAAGCGCACAAGATGCTAGATTTTTTAAAACTGTAGCAAAGAGATTGAGAGATTTAGAGAACATCGGTCGTGGGCTGACAATTTATTTTTGCATTAGCAGTTGCAAAGTTGACAAATCCCTCACCTGTTTGTTTGCAACGAGACAGGCCAATTCATGTTGCATGCGCTCCAACCTATTTTTCTGCGTCCGCACGAACATGTGTTAACAGGGAAATTAAAAGTCACGAGCAACTCGACCGCCCACATAAGTTCTCAAATCAAACGAGGAAAGAAAACTATAGCGAACAAAACTTAGCAAAATGGAGGAAAGGGACTAACCTGAGCAGAAACTACGTACGATAATTCTGCGATTAGATCATCACCTCCTCTCTCCTGCTCACACAAACATTCAGTGGAAATATTTGGATCTCTTGCACAATGATGGGCCTTGCCAAGCCAAGAGATTTCAGAAGATTGATCAAACTTATCTCTGGACAATTTTTAAGACCTAAATAACAACCACTTTATCACTTCATTCATAAAGCTGCTAAACACGGCAAGTTTATGATCTTTACAGGGTGAGATTGTTCAGTGATATGTATACTCATCCCATCTTTCATAGACACACAAACATGTCGGTACTAACTGAGTAGTTTGGGACATACGTGTGTGGCAGACACAATTAAGTTCATTGACCTGCATCTTGATTTCCATTTTTGGTATTGTACCTCCATCTTAAAAATAGTGGTCTCTAACCTTCAGATTGACTTCTGTTAACAGCAGTCAGCAGAAACCTAATATCTGAATAATCAGACATAATTTTCCGTTAGAAGTTGCGAAACAGATGAAGTGTGATGCACTGTGACCTTTTCAATGGCTGCTTCGAATCCTTTCCTCAGCTCCTCCATCTTCTCATTCATCATATCCCGCAATTTTCTCATATTGGACAGACTTTTGTCGTTTTCTGTCAATTGTTAAATGAGTTCATTGTCAGGACTTCCGTTTACTGATTTTTTTTGAACATACATTATCTGACTTCATGCGCTTCAGTTGAGAATCAAGGAGACTAAGAAGAAAAGATATCTATCCGAGATCAACATTTTGGCACACCTTGTCGGAAGAGACAAATCATGGTGTGAGTAATTACAAGCCGATGATGCAACTCATCCGCAAATTGCTGCGATTCCTTCTCAACTTCCTCCCAGCAACGAGCTTTCTCCTGAATCAGATCCCTTACACCACTTTGCTTGTTTCTGCACCGAAATTTCACAAATGGACATGTTAATTTGGAAAAATTTATTTCTGTCTAAAAACAAACCATTCTAGTAACCAACATCTTGGCCACTAGTATTCCATCAAGGGGTTCCCGATGAAAACTCGTGCTCGGAGAATTTAGTTCAAAGTACACAAGCTGGAAATCCAATGTCAGTAATGATGAGCAGTACTCCTAGTTAGAAAAAAAACCAACATGATTATTAACTTCATTGCATTGTAATATTGACATAGGACACACAATTGAAGAGGTTCAGAGAGACAGAAAATCAGAAGGTTCCGCACTTCCTCAACTCTTGACACACAAAATTCAACTCTTCTTTAAGGCGACTACATTCTCGTCTGCTCCTTCTTTCTTCCTGGGTGCATTTATCCTGAACATCAACAACCATAACCAACATCACAAGTATTAGCAGACCTTCATACGGGAGTGAATTTGTGTTATCAAATTTGAAAGTAGAGTTGTTACGTGTTGAGGATATCAAAATGTACTGGTACTCGACAATCGATAAGAATGGTTCACAAGGTATCTTCGCAGATACAGCGTGGATCCTCAAACAAAATTAGAAGCAAGATCAAATAAACTTACGAAAGAGAAAAAATGCGACATGCTAAACCACATTGGACTTCGTAAAAAGATCATGGAAGATCTTTTCAAATATGTATTCCTCGAAATGGAATCAATTATGAACTGCAGAAAAGCAAAGGGGTACCAGCAGCTCTGTAACCAACTTGACTTTACTGCGTTGCTCGTCTAGAGCTGCTGTTAATGATACAAGTGCCCGCTTAGCTCTTTCCTTCTGATGATTCGCATCAGTTAATGCCTCGCCAACTGTCTGCAAGCAGTTGGTGAAAAGATTTTAATAGTTGTCTTCTGCATTTGTTCTCCGTGATAATACAAAACAGAGTTTGAAAACAAATACACTTAAACGTGTTCCTTGTGTAACAATCTGCTGTGCAACATACCGTTCAGGATTCACATGCTACTGGATCCAACAACGAAGGGCATTTCAAGGAAGTGATATGAAGCATTGATAACCTGGGAGGCATTCATTGCAGAGTTCAAAGCCTCCTTAGAGGCCATAATCTCAGCATTTAAAGCACAAAACTTTACAGTCTCCTCCGATACAAGGCTGGATTCAACATTTTTCACTTCTGCAATCAATCGTCTCTCAGTCTGCGCCACTGTGTTTCGCACATTTCTTAACTCCAACTGGCAACCCTGCAGTACCAACGCAATGATATATGCTTAAATTTTTTGCATTCATCTCATACAATTCATTTCTTTCATATCAGCAAGTCCATTACATTCAAATATACCACATTAAAACAATATGATCTAACATCATGCAGTCAATTTAGAAATCAATCGAAGTTGGTCATACATATTGGTACTTCGATTCAAATGGTAAAGTCTTGGAACCACACAAGAAGAAGACTCCGGATGAACTGCAGTACAAAATACATTGCAGACAACGGAAAACCTAGAACTCACATTCAGAGGGTTTACCTTAAGATTTATTTCTAAACTTGCAAAAGCCATCAACTTGTGCTCGTCATGAATCTGCCAATTGTTCCTCTCTTGATCCACCAGTAGCTTGAATGCCGCAAACTCATCTTCTAACAATTTCTTCTCTTTAATGCAGTATAGTATTTCATTATCCTTCTCATAAATATCTAACCTTGCTGGATATTGCGGCTTCTCAATCTCGGTGTAGGACGAGTTTCCATCTATTCCCACACTAATCTTACTCAACTTGGATTGCAGGCAGTTGGTCTGTAAACAATACATCAAAATTCAATTAGTGCTGAATGACTGAAAATGACCTTTGCCCCTCTATGAAAAATTAAATACGTAAAAAAGCAATCACTACAGTAACAGATGAGCTCAGTTTTTTGTGGCAGAGTTTTCTCGAGTCTTCGTCATGCCAACTGCTCATTACAAGTTTTAGCAAGCCAAAAAAGCAGCTTTCGACCTGTACATGACCGCATGTTCGTAAATATCCTGTAGATCAGGTTGACCTACACAAGCTAATTTGCACTTTAACTTGATGAAAGTCATGCAGCCAGCAGAGACATGAAAAGAGCTAATAAAACTGGGAATGAGCGCACGAGACAACAGACCTGACAAACCTGATCCAAAGCAGGCATGATCTCTGTTTCCGTCTGGGTCGCTAAGTCCCTCATTGTACAAGTTGTTTTTTCCTGAAGTATATGAAAAATTTGTGATTAAGACTTTCAAATGGTAGAGCTGCACTACAAAGGCATACGTGTCTAATATATTGAGTTAAAGCTGTTACTGTAGGCTATTTACAAATTAAATCTGCGTCTGAAAAAACGATATCATCGACATGTGCACAACCCCCTCCTCGAGTACTTTCGAGAAGTAAAACACTGGTTTTTGCTGAACTGAAGCACGATACCAGGATTCCTTGGAATATACTCGACTGTTGATTAGAACTGCTTCAATTAGAAAGAGATGCGAATATACCAGCAGTGAATTAGTACTTCGATCGACAAACCGTACATACCGACCAGCATCAGCCCTGGTAGCAGCCCCTGCGAACGAGTTTTCGCGGTCTTCAACACTCTTTGGGATACTCCGTGGATGTGTGTTGTAGTGTACACCTTTATTGCGAAACTCATCCTTGGGCACAGTTGCCTCAGGATGCTGGGCTCCAAAATTCAAGACCGAATTTCCAGGCTCCTTGAGCACGACCTCGTATTCTCTGCTCCCCTTCCGAAGTGATGCGTTACAGTCTGCATTGAACGTCAAGTTCTGCGTGTTGGTATGCACAGATCCCTCCGATCCTTGCATTTGATTGCCGCCTGGATCATGACCCTTTTGTACATAGTAAACCTGATAAGGATCAGATTCATGCTGCGAAGATTTGTGGCGAAGTACATAACAACCGACCGGTTTCTGGTTTTGGAGAATGCAGCCGTTCTCACAACAATTACTCCGGCCGGTTCCAGTGTCGTTTTTGCTACTATCAAACATTAGCCTCACAGGGAATTCAGTATGTTCGTGCTGAACGACTGGTGCTGGTTTTGTACCTAGAGTGCAGGAAAGATGTCGATCACCTAACGAAAATCGTATCGTTTTAGGCTCCGGATTAGCAGGATTTTGGTGGCAAGGATATAAATGTTGAATTTTTCGAAGGGGAGAGACAGAATCTAGTTTTATTAAGGGAGCACTGCTGTCCAGGAAGGAGCTACCATCTAAACTACGTATGTGCGGAGCAACAGAAAATAGAGTTAATCTATACTCATTTGCTTTGCAAACAGGATTGGTGTAACCACCACACTGCAAAACCAGCTCTTCCAAGTGCGATAAACCTCCCAACATCCATAACTCGCTAAGACACTCGACAAGATTGTCCCGTAGATCCAAATACTGCAATGAATACCTGCGAGCATGTTTAACAGATGTTGTAAACCACATGTGCTGGGGCATAAACCCTAGAACATGTTCTTTGAAAATAACGTATCAAGGTCAAGGAAAGGGACTTACGAGGGTCCTTGCAGAGATGATAGTCCACCAAGAAGGCTGATCTGATTGTGGGAAAGAATAAGCTTTCGGATGGACACCAATCCCTTTAATCCCTTAATTTCTTTGATTCGGTTGTTCGACAGGTTAAGAACCCTAAGAGATTTCAGCTGGGATAGACCCTCCATCAAAGTGATCTTGTTGGATGATAAGTTCAGAGAGATCAGCTTGTGCAGCACCTCCAGCCCTTGAATCAGCTCAATCTGATTGCCATGCAAACTCAAGGTCTGCAGGTTGGTAAAATCCGACAGTCCAATAATTGCATTCGTGGAGTGCAAACCCGCTCCATATACGTAGATGTCTTTCACCTCCTCATCTATAAGCCAGCAGAACCAACCACGCCAACTTTGATTACACAATCATGACAGCTCCAACGGCAATGTCAAATTTGGAACTGCTGTGCCTGCATGATGTGATTGAAAAGGAGAAGAAGTACACGAGTAATGATTCATCCGCGAGAATGCTATACTGTCCTAGAAAATGAAAAAAATAGATATAAAAAGTAAGAATGGTGCAGGTGTCTTGGGAATGAGCACGGAACAAATATTACATGACCAGCTTTCATCACGCGTTTCGTATACAGCAATTTTCAGCGCGGACGTCTCCGAAAGGTATGCAGGCGACGACGAGATAAGAAGTACGAGATTACCAGACCGTCCACGTGAGTTGTGGTCGCGCACGTCTAAAAGAGGCCCCGAAGCTCCGTTAGATCCTACCCGGTGCTCATCCGACATGGTCCTTCACTGCGAGCTCCGAACAGGCTTTTTAAGCACAGGCAACAGCTTCGATAATTTCAACGGCGATAAGCATTTCGGCACTCGGCAAGACCTTCAGTATCTGCAACATTACAACACCAAGAACGACAACAAACCGGGGGGGATTGAAGCGGGACAGTTCAAGGGTGAGCATCAACATGGAGGGAGGGATGCTTCGGAGGTGATCGGGTCCTCATGCCAGCCCACGGTTTCACGTGTCCTGGAGAAGCATCAGCAGCAGCAGAAGCCTCTTACTACCGTGTCACGGTATTGGAATCCCTTTCTTATTTTATTCAACGTCGATTCATGAAATCTGTTTCCGGGCTTAAACATGGATAACACTTCCGTCTACTTATTTGGCATTTCCTCTTGCTAATTTTAAATTATGAAACTGTCTATTTTTTCTAATAATAATTAATAGCACAAAATTAAATAGATATAGAATGCTTCAGAAACGTGCTCGCATGGAACCTGCAGGTATGAGATTGGTTTGCTTTGGGAGAATGAACCTTGATTACAATCGATATGACTCATTCTATTTTTATTTTTTGATATGTTTGTTTAACGTATTTTTACGTATCCATTCAAGACAAAATGTATATATTTATATATATATATTTTGATGGTTTGTTGATTTTTCCAGGATTTTCTTCTATATATGTGCACGAAAGTCACAATAGACTTCATTCTAGGAAATATGAAACTTCACAAATATGCGAGGCAATGCAGGCATACTGATCATAAATGCATTACACAGACAAGCAAGGATCACACTACGTCGAGAACAAGAACAAGTAATATTCCCTGAAAATCATCCAAGAAATTTATTATTCTTAAGCATCTTTAAACACGTCAACTGCAAAGCAGATCTGACAGTACGAAAGCTGCCCGTAGGGTGAAAAGAGCAGACCAAAATCTAACTGCACCATCACCACGGACTCGCTAGTTACATCACTAAGATATCGCTGAAAAACTACACGAGATTCTCGACACTTGCCAGCTGTCAAGCCTGCCTGAACTAAGAACTGAATCGACTATCATCTTACTGTTGAAACACTTTTATTATATCCACGTTCAGCATGATAGGAACATGACCTTAAAACAGGTTTAAAAGGACATACAACTTGATGTACCAACAAGCGTTCTCTCCTCCACAATCTCATCAGACGTCACCAACAGAAAGCCCCCTGGTATGCTGTAAGCTTTCCATCGCTTCCCAGAGAGATACTTTGCAAACATAAGTAGGTACAGGAAAAAAAAACTGGTTTAACTAGTCATTTGGCAAATATTTACCGGCCGGATTGAGCTGTTTCAACAGGCCCCCATATGTGGAGTAAAGGACGCGATCTTTTGCCCCTGTTCGGTGTTTATCATTGTGCTTGCAGAAAAACTTGAGCTGGTCAAGAGTGCAAAGACCAAGAGTCTGAGTTAACAAGAGAAATAGCCAGTTTATTTCCCTTTTTTTCTCAGCTATGATTGGCTTCACACAGTCATTTTGATGGCACAGTGTGCAATCAAGAAGCCGTGGGACCATCCAGTGTTTTGGTGCGCGATCATGCATAGAGTGCTTGTTCTCAAGAAAGTACCTTTCAAGCTGAACAAATGCTGCCTGAGTTCATCCAACATCAAAATTAGCAAGACTTATGGCTCTAGATTTTCCAAAACAAAGAAGCAACCACGAAGAAATTAGTCACCAGAGTTACAAGGCAAAAAAATCTACTGAAAATACAATTGAAAAAATGAGGAATAAATACCTGTAGATTGACCTCGACGGTGGTCATCCCATCACACCTTTTACACTGCACCTCACCACTGATACTGGTTAACCCGTGTCTAAACATCCATTCAAGGCTGTGGTTCTTCGCACGATACTCTGTGGACCATAGAAACGGAGGTGTGACATGAGGACCTTTCTTCGTTAGGTTGCCACTAGTTGCTGACAACCGTTCACCTGCCACAATCCATACATGAAAATCAGAGACAAGGCATGCACTAGAGAAATCGTCTCCCCTGCATACTGCCAAGTAGGAGAGACTCAAGAAAGCTTTTAGACACAAAGCGCAGACATTCATCATTCGTTTACAATTTCAAGTTACGACCTAATCTGGAAAAATAGATTATTTGATCTGATAATTCCAATTCACGAAGTTAAGTGGATAAGAGATAAATAACATCCTAAATCTACCAACAGCATGCCGTTTCTACTTGTTACAATAAAGCTGAATTAGCTCAGGACTATTCCAAGACCGACCGGAGAAGCTGTATAAGTTCAAACTACTACGCATACTAGCGAGTGCTCACAAAAAAGAAAAAGAAAAACCAAAAACGAACAAAATCCCAGCTCTCATGATCACATCGAAGCGTTCCATAAACAATTATCCAACGTTCGCAAAATCATCTTTAGATGTGCGTCATCCTCACAAACTGAACACTAACCAAGGCCCTTTAATGAGTCATTGCAGGAAAACGCACACTAAGAATATCTCTGAAGTAAGAAATTAAGTCGCGACTAACTTTGGAGACTGTATGGCAAAACTCATCATGTACAACAGTGCAGACCCAAAGTTTCATCTCGTCACACCACATTTCGAGGTGGTTTTATCAGCAAAATATCTACGGAAAAGAGCGAAAATTAGGGAAGTCATTGAGAATGCGCGCATCATGTAGCATCTCGAGAAGTCAAGAGAATCATCTCCGAAACGCAATTATAAATCATAGTTCTTACCACTAAATCTACTGCATGAAATAAAAATATTAAAACATCTGAGGAACGCACGGTGACCTAATCGTGGATTTCCACAAAGAGGAGGGAAAAAAAGACAAACTAGATAGCATAAATTTTCTATCATATCATCGCTTGAGCGCAATCTACTCCAACACAAATTATTAGAGTACAACAGAAGAAGACTAATACGAAAAATGAGAGGTAAAGGACATGAAACTGACTTGGACATATTGATCCAGGGGGCAAAGTGCGCACAGGAGTGCGTCGCGGGCGATAATGTTCATCCTCTTCGGAGAGCGATGTCACCACCGACAGTAGTGGCCCTTGTTGTTGCAGAGTAGGAGAGCGGAGAAACAGATCTTGCGAAGATGACAGCCGAGACGATGAGCCAGGCGGCCCTAGTGTAAGTCTCAAGCTGTCTTCTTCGTCCTCAGGATCACTCATGAAGGACTGCCGTAGAAGGTCCAGCCTCGCCCTCTTACTGGACCCAGCCACCGTGTCCTACTACCCTAGGCCCTTCGTGAACGACGATAAGAGCCTCCTTCAAGTATCTTCAATATACATCTACTTATATCTACTTATGTGTGCACTTCTCTGCCTGCGATGATGCAAGTGCTTACAAATACTCCAAAATCCTTCGTGGTGTCCACTGTCCTTCCTCGCATTGTTATTAATACTTACAAATCCAGACGGCTGTTTCCCAAATGCAATATGGCAGCAGACGATGCTCTCTAACTTGCGCACGGAGCCGTTGAACGACTCTAAACTTAGTCAACACAAATTCTAAGCTTGTCTTCGTCGCAAACCTACAACACACTCTACCATATTACCTATCGCGACCCAGCCCAGCAGCAGCAGTTACTAAATGCATCAGAACGTAAAGAAAGAAAACAGGGATCTACTTTACAAACCTAAAAGAAAAATTCGACACCCTAATGAAAGCGTGAGGGAAGCGACTAGCAAGAAAAGATGTCGGACCGAGTGAACAGCGTTAGGGTGTCAGAACTATGTTAGATTGCGACGGACGTAACGAGACGCTATTAATGAAATGAAGAGGAAAAAAGAGCTGGAGCTGGGATTTCAAGAGCGCCTTGCCAGCAAATTCTTGCCGGAAAGAACATTTTTCGCTGGCAAAATGGAATAAACCGACAAAACCCTAGAGAAAAGGACTGAAGGGGGCTGCGGAGACAGCAGGAGCATTCTTCCCCTTCCTCCCAGGAGAGACGGACGGACGGACATGCAGACGGACAGACGAGCCCCTTGACAATTTAGTTGGTACTCCACGTCAGTTCTTCTTCCTCCTCCTGCCCGGCCCCGCCCGACTTGGCCTTCATCTTTGCTTACACTAAACCTAACCACATCCAACACAATTATATATATACAAGTGGAAACCCATGCGGTTGGCCACAAAAAGATGTGAAATTTTAATTAGCAATTGCTAAGTCAAAAATTGAGTAAGAAAAAATATATATGTATACACATACATACAATAATTTTGTTACAATGTGAATTAGACCTACTTCTATCCACAATTGCCTATGATATAATTCCTTATCTATGAACAACATTAACAAAGAACTCGGTTTCAAAAGTGCACAATTAAACCTTTATTACAATTAGGCCTAAAGTCACCTACATGTACCAAGTCATAATGACAAGGCAATATACTACTACAAAATCTCTCTAGAAACCGTGCAACTTTCTTAAGATGCTTTATATTAGAGAAGCATAAATTTGACTAATTAAGAGTAGAAGAAGTAAGGATCTATATCGTTTCTTACTTTTAAATCTTTTCAACATTCTATCTTTTCTTTTCTTTGAAGCTAATTTTCAACAAGAATCTTTCAACATGAATCTTTCAACAAAACGCTCCAATCTACCATCCATATATGTGTTGGTGCTATTCCTGATAGCAATGCACATCTTTTTGTCTATAACACGTTCCTCCTCTTCTTCCTCTTGCTCTTCTTTTCACCTCTCTATCACTGTATACTCATCACTAACACCTTATAACAAAATTATCTACAACAAATTGGCTCCAGAAAACCTCTCTACTATTTTAACCTATAAATAAGCAAACACCTCAACACATGCATCAGATTGTTTAGCTGAATTGATTTGCGTAAAGATGGAAAAATAAATAAATAAACAAATCATCATGTAAAAAATCAACATAAACAGGCCGAAATAATTCAATGCGATGAACAATTCATTTCGCAATTAATTCCCACAAAACTCCACACACAACATATGAGCAAAAATGGCAAAGCCATCAACATTGCCAAGAACCTTCAAATGTTGAGCACGTCTAGCCTTGCACAGCAAAACTCAGAACATCATCCAATACAATGGAATTTAAACCAAATCCTACAGTTGAATCAATGCCCAGAGAGGAAAAAAAAATTAGTCAAGTTAGTCAAAAAATCACTCCAAGTTGTCTCTGTATAACTCTAAAAAATCAAAAATCACCCTCAAAAATCACTCCAAGTTATCTTATTTAGTATGAATTTTGTTAAGGCCTTGTGAAGTCAACTTTTGCTTCATTTTGTATGAAAATTTTCAATGACAAGAATGAGAGATGCACCCAATTAGAGATGGTTTTTGTTTCCTCTTAGTTATTCTGTTAGTTATTTTATAGAATAAATATTCCTTGCGCCATTCTTGAGCTAGCCTCTCCATCCTTGTATGAAAAAATAAAAATGCAACAACAATTCATTTGGAAAACAAGTAAATATATGTAAAGTAAAAACACACTCACACATGTTTATGTGATAAAATAAGAAGTTACTTGTACTTATGCTTGATCATATTCTTTAATAAGTGCTTGATTATATTTATATTTGATTATATATATATATATATATATATATATATTAAAAACATCTTGTCCAATATCATTCTTGGTAAAGAAACTTGCATACTCCATCAGAATTTGTATCAGGTTTCTTCAGTATATTTTACTTGTCAGCACAGACAGAAATAATCGTTAAAAAGAACCTATGCAAATACATCACACTTGGTGTTTTGAATATTTAAAGCATGGACATGAACATTCAATGAAGAATCTTTTGTCAACATAATTTTATAGTTACAGGTAGCATTCAATTCTTAAATAATAAATCATCCTAGCATGTATGGTGTTTTTGTAGTGTATGTTTTTAAATCCCAATATATTTAGGCATAAGTAGACAGCCCCTAAGACAAGCTTACACATGATAACACTATATTTCCTGCATATCCACAGCACAATGTTCTTGATAAAATAAATTTTAAAATTAAAGCAGTAACTGGGTATGCCATAAAAAGAGCTCAAGACTTGATATAATGATGTAAAATATTAAATATGTTCCAAATGTGGGTTGGTAGTACAATTAAAATAAAGTAATCAAGTTATGCACAAGGGAAAACAATAGATTAATTTTTTTAAAAGTGTATTACCTTATTGTACTTTATATTTAAAATTGTATAAATTTAGTCACCTTGATTAAGTGCAACAACTCATACATAGCACTTAAATTGCAAATGCTAAAACGATTGCAACAATGTTAATTTGGTGATTTTGTTGAACACAAGTCAGACATGCTCTCTGTTGCAATTTTACCTTCTCTCTACATGAAAAATCCAAAAAATTCTTAAAATCTAGTTATGCCAAAAAAATTAAATGATTACTTCATTCCAAAATAATATATTGTGCAACATTATTTTTCTATTAATGAAATAATAGATTTCTCTTATATTCATTATGAGTTGTAATAATTTGTCACATCATGCTTCTTGTGTTTTGTTGATTATTAGGCTTATAGCATTTCTAAATGATTACAATGTAGAATGACATTACATATGTCATGTTGGACTATATATTAATTACTTGTCTTTTGTTGATTATTAGGTTATAGTATTTCTAAATGATTAAAAAATAGAGCAACCTCACATATATCATGTTAGTCTATATGTTGATTAATTCATAGGGTGTGCCACTTATAATCTCTTTTATCCCACAATCCTACAAAAAAATTTGATAATTGCATTCAGATTCAGTGAATTGGCAGTTTATTACTGTATATATGTATATATCTATCCTAACTTTTGGTCGGAATCACTATTTTAAGTGTGTAAGATTTATGTAACGTTAGTAAAAGAGTTAAGTTCCCATGTCGAACTAAATCACGAAGAAATTGTGTCCGAAAAATTATAATGCGAATTACGAATTTTATAAATTGTACATGTAATATTCAATAGATTTAGACATTAATTGAAGTTTGTGTGGTTGTGTACTTATTTGATTTCTCAAAAATGTGATCCTTCGGTACAATCTCGGTGCAAAATAAGGGGATGGAAGAGAAAGAAGATGAACAATTATCTGAAAATGGACGAAAAACAATTTAAATTGTTTCAGGGTTCTTTTAGTTACTTGAGAACACTCTCTGGAGTCGGTTTATATTCCATTCAAAAGGGGTTTGAGGTGCACGTGTCATGTGTTCCAAGGCCATTGTCATGTGTTCACGTACCTGCAGCAGTACGTGAATTGTACCGAGGTGGATCGCTGTTGAGCACGCGATATGATACAATCCTCGATTTCCTAATTATGGAAGTAAACTATTCATTCTAGTCATCAAGGATGGATAATTATTACAGCATTACAGCTCAGTAGCTACAACAAATTTCGATTTCTGATCAAAACCTCACAATTCTTACAAATTTTAAAAAATCAAGCCTCACCAGGAGCACTCCAAGTGCAACCCAAGGTACCTCACTCAGAACACTGCACAGAAAAGGTGGTTTAAATTAATGACCATGCGGCATGGCGGACAGCCTGAAATCGGCAAAAGAATGTTATAAGTAAAAGATACAAAAAAGGCATCTCGACTTCTAGTTTCTTCAGTGTGCTAAGGATCAGAGTAACTTCTATTTTCAATAAACTTTCAGTTAGTAGAGATCATCAAAAGGCTAACTGTTATTCAATGTGGATTGCAAAGCTCGCCCAGAACGTAAATACAGACACTGCGTTTGTGGTAACAAGCGGTGTCCAAGAAATAGTCATTCCACAAACGAGCAGAAGTCAATGAAGTGAACGATGATGCTGAGAGATTTTTGACGTGGAGTAATCGACCAAACTAACCTAGAACTCAAGGCGAAACGGAGCACACTTGAAATAAAAACTACATTAGTATTTTATACTAAATGATTGATTTTGAAGAACAGAAAACGGTCAGAAAAATGTGCCCTGAATATCCCATCATTGTGCACCTCCCTCAGCGTTTCCACCACTATAAGTCTTTTTCAAAGCAGTGGTTTTAACAATCTGCAGCCGACCCACAAAAGAAACGATCAACAAACAGAAAACCGTTCCAACTGTGTTTAAGAAGACTAAACAGCAGCATGTAAAACAATACCCATGAGATCTACCCTAAAACCATTCAAATTAATCATGTGATGACAACTGCACATTCTTAAGTTCCTCAGGTCACTAGTTGATTCTACAAGAGGTTGTATAAAGAGAAGCGTGTAGTCAGAAATTCTTGCCTGTCGCAACATCTGGTTTTCTCTTTGAAGGGTGGACACTCTCTCTTCAAGTTCTGCATTTCGATGTTCCAATTCCTTCGATCTGATCTCCAACTCACTAAGATATGCTTTTTTCCTTTCTCTAGCTTGCTGAGCTGAAACACGATTTCTAAGCAGCCTGCTCCCAAACATACAACACACTCGATTACGTGTATGCTCGTGACGCGAAAACTTCACCACTCTAAACAGCAATGTTACAAAACTAACATGGTTGAGATCAATAACAGCAAACTTTTCATTCGCAACTCAAAAGCGTGTTTCGAAATTTCGCATCCTTCTCGGTAGAATTCATCTATAAAAACAAAGATAACTACTAAAAGATAAATAAAGACAACATTTTAGAAAAAGTAAAAAGGAGTTACTCCATCAGAGCATTGACTACTAAAAAAACACAAAAACATCGCACACGCAACGGTTGTAGATAAGAAACCATTAGACATACGAAGAGCACGACAAAAAAAGCTTTGCATTCAATAGATGAACGACAACCTTTTCAGGCGCTTATGTTCTTTATCGGCAGAAGCGCCGCCTCTTTTCCGATGAGAGGATCCAGTTGGACCTTTCTCTTGGGTGTGTGACCCAGCAACCCCTCCACCTGTCTTTGCAGACAACTCGGGCACTCTCCTAACATCACAATCGCTTTCATTGCCTGCCATTCCGAACCCAAATGATTAAAAAACCTCCAATGCATCACACCATCCGAAGTCATTACAGGTGCTGAAGCATTGGAGAAGAAAAAATACCATCTTTCATGAGTTTGTCAACGGCTGCATTGGCCAAAGGAGGTGACACTGACATGTCAGTGCCCGTCTGCTGCTTCGAAGAAGCCGGAGACGAACCAGGACCCACACTAGAGACCTGCATTGGTAGAATTCCCTCCAAGCCTTGGTGCTCACCAAAATTCACAGGTTTCCAGTTCCGGCCAATGTCAACGCCTTCTCTGAAACCCCTCCTGCTACTGTTTGCAACACTACTGTTGTTTCCAACAACCGATGTCAACTTTGGAAATCTCTTTCCATTTCCTGCGCCTGACATCCCATTTGCTCATTCAGTTGCACTGTCTATCTTTCCAACACTGTTCGATTCCGACTGCAAGGAAATATATATAGCCGAAAACTCTCGCTACATGAAAGTGATACCCTCTCATTTCAACAGCCACTAAGCTGCTGTCCCAAGATATATACAGAAGTACAACAAGTGTCTGAACTCAGGTAAATTCATGAAAGTAACATGCACGTTGAACATCGAATACATCCACTAAAGTGCTATCACTAATCTGCAAATATTCATTGTACTGTTATTAACCATGAACTTCTACAAGCTTTAGCAGCAACCTGATACTGTTAGCCTAGACGATCTCCTCAACCCCCTCTAATACCAACTGAGTAAATTTACCAGTCTCACGTTCATATGTGATCACTTTAAAATTCTGTGAGGCTCGAAGATGTGATTCTACAGAATGGGATGCCGACTTGTGAGAGAAGGTGTAATAAGGACTACACTGTTTATAGCAGAAACAAAGATTTCCCCGAGACTACAATAGATGCCGAGCCTAAATCAAGTAAGATACTTCTCGATAATCTATGCACTCTAGACTAATGTCTAAATAAGCTTCCAGGCCAGATTCACACTGTCAACAACAGACCCCTAAATTATGAATAATAAACTTCAAGATGAAAGTCTAATATTAGACTTCAAGGTACCCTTGACTTGTGTAGAAGTAGCTTAAACTTATGCAAGTACTGGGACCCTAAGCACTTCGATAAACTCAGTGTTTGCATACAGCATAAATCTAGGCTTTCTGGATAAAGTCCAAAGTAATGGAATGTTTCATCTGTTTGGTAAACCATATTTTGACAGGAAGCCATGAAACTTTTACTGTAACATATGCTGGACATGGTCCAATGAATACCCCCCAGAATCCTTGTTTGATAAGTTATAAATGTTATCCAGAGTCTTCAGGGCAGCGCACTCATAAATCGCAGTCAGGCAGTACCTATACGGAAATCTCACTTAACTAGTAATTGGATAATTTACATTGTGTAGAAAAGACTGAGCTAACCCGAGCAATGAAATAACGAACATAATAGAAAAACAGCAGAATCAAACTACGTGTTCCCTACATACTCCGATAACAGAACCAATGTAGCGATATGAAATTCAACCCTTCGAGCATGAAAGCGTAACTGTTTTAACAAACAGGAGGGTGCGAAAAGACTCTGACCATCGCCAGAATTTGAATCAGAGACAGAGACACAGAGAAAGACAGGAGGGGACAATCTGTCAAACTTCAAGTATTTTACAAAAAATCTACATCTAAACTACGCTATATGACTCATTGCAGCCAGGCATCGTTTAGCGACGTTAGATGTCCAAAATACGAGTCCTGATAAGTATTCAAAAATTGCCTAATAATTCATGGATCAAACGAGAAGCCATCTCATTCCTCGTGAAGATAAGCATCTTCTGCTCGAAAGGTTTAGAGCAACTTACAGCCAAACAAACATTCAATCCTAGCACCCTAACAACTAGTAAACTTTAACATAGATTGACTGGCCTCCACAACGTCCGGGTGCCAAATCATACCAGCAGCTACCCCAGAGACGAGTAAGTACCTTGCAGTAGATTAGAGCCACAAGCCAAAGGATCTGTCACGTCTGGCACTTCAGCATCGGTCTCATCACCAGATTCTGACGAGTAACAATCAGAAGGATGATCTGCTTCGGAATCTGCTTCACAGTGCACCTTCGAATCACCTTGGGTCTCATCAAAGTCTGTCATTAGTACTCCTTTCTCAAACCCTCAAAACCCCTGAGTCTTTGAAAACCTGACCTCTTTCTCCTCCAGTCTCCAAGAAAAAGGAAAAAATAAGGGAGGAACCGGGGGGGAAAAGAAAGGGAAAAGAAAGAAAGAAGAAGGAAACGGCTTAGGAGACTAAATAAATAAAAAGACAACTCTTCTCAACGCAATCTCCCTAACTCTGCACACAAGGGACGGTCTACCGACCTAGCATCGAGCTCACCCGCCCAACGACCACCAAACTCTACATAAAATTAAAAAAAATTCACGGCTATTAAACGCCAAAAGCTCCTCACTCAGACATCCATCCTTCCTTACAATCTGACACACTCAGCAAAGGAAAGCAACATCCCTGTCTTTCTCTGTCTCTCGATAGCAAACTAACCTCACTCAAACCTACCCCAAGCACGCCAGTAACAACCAAGAAATCACCAAACCCTACACAGCCCTCACTGTATCTCTCTCCCAAGTTCCACTCCTGTCCTCCACACACCGAAACGAGACGAACACATATTCCTCGGTGTAAGTGATGACATGAACCTGAGAAAAAGCGGGGGGGGGGGGGGAGAGGCAGGGCAGGCTTCCGTAAAGCGACGATGATTTCGTGGAAAGAAGTGAAGGAGAGATGGGAAGGGGACTGGTGACAAAGCAACAACACAGCAATGCCGAGGGGGGTCGGTGGTAGAGGAGGGTTGGGAGTGAGAGTACAACGATGCAAAGCGGGAGGCAGAACCAAACACCAACAAACAACACACTCGCAAACAGGGTCTAGAAGTTGGGAGACTTGAGCAGCACAGAGGGCCACGTCGCCCCCTTCCCCTATTGTCCAGTGTGGGAGGCGGTCGAGTTGTGGGGTGGGACGGGAAGGGCGAGGGGAGCTAGCTTTCGGCTCTCTTCCCCGCTGCTGCTGCTGCCCCGTTCCCTCTCCTCTAGCCCAGGTGCTGCTGCTTCCTTCCCATGGGCATTCCGCCTCTCTCATAGGCTTTCTGCCCCCCGCGGCTTAAATCATATTCTGTACTAGTAGGAAGATGGGCAGACACTCCCCCATATGGACGGGATCTGGTCACACACCCCCCCCCCCCCCTCCTCCCGCCCCGGCCCGGCCCTCTTTCTCTCTCTGCGAGGCCCCGTGCTCGCCGTCATCGCAAGAGCGTGGGATTGTATTTCCCCGCATTCCCGTCTCTTTCCGATGCTGACTATCCTGCCCCTGTGGTCGGTGTTAACGTAGAGCTAAAGGGAGAGTTTGCATGTGCAAAGGTCAATGCTGTTCACAACTCTTTCGTGTTCTCTCCTTCACATGATCGCACACATTGTCACAGATTGGGAGTAGTGTATATGCTACAGGGTAGTAGACATCGTGTAAGAGCCTATCCGCAAATAAGTCGGGCATAAAAATCGACGAGTAAGAGGATTACAAATCGTCTTTGCAATGCTGAGTTCAAAATATTGAATTTAATTCATCAAGCAGAATTAGTATGCTTTACCAAATCCGCAAAAGTTTTCCACATGAGAAACTCAAGACTACTCAAGTCAGAACATATATCCAGACTCTGGCCTACTATGAGTTGAAATCAGGATATGGTGGTTAGATACCTTGTCGGGGTCACTAGTACATCCAATGCCCGATATTGGGACCTTGTTTTGAGCTATGTTAACACCTTGGATCATTGCTGCAATCTACATGACTTGTATGTACCTACAGGAGTGTCACCCTATGCTTCTGTAGCGATGTGGATCTCAGATTTGAATTCACAACCACTACACTGAAGAAGAGGACCCATTCACGGCTGGAAGATATGAAAAAGAATTCAACACGAATGCTGATAAAACTGACACACTGCTACTTAACCTACAATCTGCAAATAATGCTCCCGATCGGTCCTACTAGCATAAGCTTTCCCAAACCATCACGAGAGCTATGGACATCATGCCCACTAGAATGCTCCATCTATGCAATTGAAGGCAGGAAGCAGTAATGGTAGAGTCTACAGGATCCTTGTCGTAAGTTAATGTCCAACACTCTGAGCTGCAGGAACTTTTCGGGAAGATCCAAGGCCCATGGATTCCGTCTTGGACTGCACAGCATTGAGTTCACGATCATCCCGATCACTTTTGCTTGTAGAGTGTCGTCTTCCATAAGGGTTAAGAGGAGCAGAATAAGAATTTGTTGCACTCATTGCAGCGGTTTTTGTCACGCGGCGGGGATCCGTATACTCTTTGTTGGAAAGGCCCATGAAACTTGTTGGATTACCTGCTCTTCCAACAGGACCTGCAATGAGGAAATATGAGGTCACGATAAGTGAGTCCAGCAGCTTTCTCCACATCAACCGCAACAGTACCAGCAAATGAAGCCGCATCGAAATTACTCCTCAATGCTACACACTTCACTGTTCTGTCCACCTGCAACTAGAAGTAATTAATAACCTAAGCCTTATCATTCAGACCTTATCGTAACAACTAAGAACAGCTTCCAAATATCAAGTTCGAAACAACCAAGGTGTGCAGAGGGCATTAATGAAGACGTCCCAAAACTTGAAAGCGTTAGGGTTTTAAAGCAGAAAATTTGTAGTTACCATCTAGAGATTTAGAGTTCTGAGAGTATGTGTTCCTCTGACCAGAAGCTCCATGCTTGTCCTGCAACTTACTTTCCTCTCTTTGATACTTCGCGGCTTCTTCACGGAACTCCAAGACTCGTTCCCTAGAAAAGCATTCCAAACATTCTAGCATTTTAAATACACCGTGAATCAAACGAGTAATAGACTTCATTTCTATCTTGAGAGACTCTGACCATAACTCTACAAATCGTTGAGATGAAAAATTTACTTTCACACTTCGTAAATTCAGATGCAGGAGTACAAAAAAGGTACCTCGGGAGTGAGGCATGTTGTCTCTCAAGGGGAGGATTATTGCCAACCTTGCCATAGTGTTCCTCGAGATGAGCGAACTGTCTTTTGAATTGATCCACCGCACTATTCATCAAACAAACATTATCAGCAAGCCTTCACTGAAATCTCAACCACCAATATGCAGTTACAACCTCAACCTCAACATTCTAATGAAGCTTGCTCGCAAAGGAAATGTGTTAATGGTTGATTGAATCAGACCTGGGGTACAGGAAAGTAGCATTATCTGAACCGTTGAGATACTCCTTCAGCATTTGTGGATGATATTCCAAAATCTGCCACACAACAAAACTTCTATATCAGAGATGTCCATCATAATAACTGAATATCACACCGATAATTAAAATGAACTCTCCAGTCCATAAATCAATGACGAATTCCACTGAAGCTACATACCTCCCGATAAATAAGCTCCCTCACATCTTCCTTGTTGATTCTCCTTCTTTCAAACTCAAACTCCATTTTCGTAATTGGTTGAGCAGAGGGTTCCCTATCCACTTTTGCCAAACCTTTGAAATAAGGATCTGCCAAAGCCTACACCCATCAATATAGTTTAGATACAAAGCGACATATTATGACTACAAAAGAAGGAATTCAGTTCCATTAAGAATAACAGAAAAGACTTTGAAAAGAACTTCAAAATCGTCCAAACATGCATTTAACTGTATTCGATCCCATGTTGTACAATCCATGAGGTACCTCCTCTGCAGTAGGTCTGTCTCTGGGATCAAATGCAAGCATTCTTTCTAGCAGCCGAATAGCTAGGGGATCAGCATTTGGAAATTTCTGCCCAAAGGGCATGGGGAGTTTCTTTCGCATGGTGCTAAGGTATCTCCTTGCTTTCTCATTTCGCACCTGTAACAAAAGACCAAATTCATTGAGAATGATTTTACGACGCAAACTGCAATGCAGTACATTAGCAACTTATATGCAATAAGCTCTAGAACATACTCCTGAGGGATGCGCCAACCATCCATACGTTGCTTACAAGTTAGATGCAAACAACAATCCAGAACTGTCCTATAAAACAGACAGAATCAGGAATTTATGCCGCTTAAAACTCTCCATAGGATTCTTTCACTTGCATTGAGCCTCACCAAGTTAAAGTATTTCAGGACTGTGCTCTTACCCTTTGAACGGTTTCTGAAGATGGACTTCCAAGCATGTCTGTCATAAGATCCAGCTGATGAACAACATTCTTCCCAGGGAAAAGTGGCTTTCCGGTCAACACTTCCGCAAATATACAGCCTATACTCCAGATATCGATCGCAGGAGTATACTGTAAAAAAAAGGGACATAACAACACTTATTCAAAATCACTCACAAATATGTTCTACCCAATAACTTGTGTCATGGTCCACGACCTCCACTGAACGAGAGCGCACTAGTGTTACCTTAGAAAAGAATGAACCACATAGCTCCGGAGCTCGATACCACCTTGTGGCCACATAATCCTGAAGCACTCAACAATAGGATATACACATATTATAACAAGCTTAAAACTCTACCTCCGATAAAATTTGACCCAGAGTTTAGAGTTAAAAGGAATTAATTCGGTGCAAAGAAGTACAATTTCCGAACGTACTATTTCGAATTGTATTAACAGGGTTAAACCATACCGTCCAGAAAATGGCCGTTGGCGCATCACTGAAAGCCACCCGAGCAAGTCCAAAATCACAAATTTTCAGCTTGCAATCAGCGTTTGCCAATACATTCTTTGGCTTGAGATCGCGATGAAATACATTAGCTAAAGCATCACCCAAATAGAAGCACGTCAACATCCAAACGAGACACACATTCATTAGATCATAATCCACTATTCTTCTTGAAATATAGTTACATTTTCAAGACTACATTTGCATTTGATGTCACACCATACCTCCTAAACGTACCGGTATTTTTGAAAGGACAGTTAATTAAAACAATGAGTTCCTCCAAATTGAATCTAGGACGAATTTCGATCGTGTAAAACTATAATTGCAGGAACTGCCAACGTAACCAATAATAAGAAATTAGTTACGCACTAAAAGACTACAGTAGAATGCGGGTCCTCCAGGTAATTTCAAGAGTATGCTTCACTTTAATACACCTGTTGCATCCTCACTAAGCTGGAATAGGTTGCTGACACCAAGCCCTACGAAGATCAAGTTAAATATTCTCCACAACTAAATGAAAGTCAATACACTACAAAATGTGACGCCCACCTGTATGGATATACTTGAGAGCCCTCAGTAGCTGGTACAAAAAGAATTGATAATGCTCAGGGGTCAAATCATCATTAGCTTTGATAACTTGGTGCAAGTCTGACTCCATCAGCTCAAATACTACATAAATGTCCTTGAAATCACGCCGTGATGGAGGAAGCATTATGTGCTTCACTTCCACGATGTCAGGATGTCGCAACAACCGGAGGAGCTTGATCTCCCGAAGAATGCGTGTTGCATCTGACACATGCTCGAAAATATCATTGATCTTCTTGATAGCCACCTTTTCACCAGTTAGTGTGTCGACTGCCGAACAGACAACCCCGTAGCTTCCTTTTCCAATGACTTCCAGAATACGGTAGCGATTGGCTTCCCCGTACTCGGTAAAAAACTCCGCATCGGCCATTTCCTGCATACATGCAACAACTATCAGTGGTCCATGTGTAGACTTGTCTTACCAAAAACATACTTGGAAGAATTGAACAGCTTCCACAAACGCGTCCACGTCTGCGCGTCTGACAATTTCGAATAACAATAAGAGCAATGGCTTCACCCGTCTCACTTCTTGGAATCCTCAAGTAACTTTTCACAACTCGGCTCAGCGAAACTGAGCCAAACCAGTGTGTTTCAAATCTTAAAGGGCACTGTAAACACGACCACTTCCTCCAGCATCTGAATGGTTCATAACATCGTCATGCTGCAATCTGTGATGATGATTCAACTTCACCACATTCCTCTAAAACTACTCCACTCAGGGGCCTAAGGGTGGGAGGCGCTGCAAGTGAAGTGACCAGATGATTCAGACACAGAAGCAGTAGCTGGATGTAGAATCTCGAGAGAAAAAGAGAAGCTGCCAGTCACCATCTACGCTGATAATCTATGAGAAAATCCGATGGCCAAGAAAATACATCGAAGACATTTCGCGGGTACTGTGGAGGACAATTCTAACCCTTTCTGCAACACGTAAGAAGAGCTAAGACATGTGCGGCTGACAATCATGCCAGCGCTATGGGATCTACGCTTCATGAACGAGAAACATTTTTATCGTTCCCAGTATTTATAGGAAACTGTAGACTCAAAAACCACTCTACCTCCACAATAAAACAGAGATCGAAACAAAATCCTGACAAATCACAAATATTCCAAGCGCATTAAATCGATTCAAGGGACACATGTAAGGATGCCAAAAGCGCAGAAAAGAGGAGCAACAATCACGGACTTTCTCCGCAAATCAGCTGGCCGCATCCAGAAACTCCAGAATCCGTACAACAGCGCCCGACGAGGAAACCAAGGTTTTCTTCAGACGAATGACCCGCTTCTCCTCACACTAGGGCATCCATTTCACAACCGACGGCTCTACGCTGCCGCGTGCATCGTGTTTAGACGTCCCTGACTCATTCCACAGGGGGCTCCAACCGTGCGCTGGTGCTCCTCACTAAGAGAGAAACCCCGATGCCCAGAGCTTTGAGGAAGAGGGCACACAACCTGCACGAAACGTGACGTGGGGCGGTTGGCGGATGCTGCCGAGGCTGCCCTGGGCAATGCGGCACAGCGAGGAAAGGGAAAGGCAACGCAGGGAAGGGAAGGAGAAGGGGAGGCGAGGAACGAGGAACCCCCGGGTCTGGCCTGGGCTGGAGAGGAGGACGACGAGACACAGAGAATGCTTCAGAGAGAGAGAGAGAAAGAGAAAAAAAGGTAAACGATGGTTTGTGAACGCTTCTTCTGGCAACACAGCGAGCGAGCGGAGCGGGAAGGCAGCCCCGTCGGGAAAAGCAGGCCAGCCATGGCGTCGATTGTCCTGCTCCGTCCTGTCCTGCCCGCTCCCCCCTCTGCCCGCCCCCCTTGCCCTGCCCGTACTCAGTTAGCCCTGGTGGCCTATTCCTGCACCCCGGAACCTTCGGCCTTCTCTCGTTCGCCTCCGAACCACAAACATAATTCACAGCAATGTAATGTGAAACTATTACATTTGGTTTTTTAATATTAAACAATAACCACAATACATTTGGTTTTTTAATATTGAACAATAACCACAATACATTTGGTTTTTTAATATTAAAATTATGTATATACACATGCAATCATACATACAAACATACTTACAAACATATCAGGATCAGAGGCCATTGTTTTGCTATAGAAACTATCAACAAAGCAAGTTATTATATAAGTAATATATAATGTATTTATTGTATTTAATGTCTTATCTAACTCTCTTTATCTCCAAAAAAAAAAAAAAAATATTATTTATATGCTTCGTGAAAAACTATATTTTGCAAAGTATCCACTAAAAATAAAAATAAAAATAAAAAGTCATTCTGACAGCCAGTTATTTTAGTTGCATATAATTTGGTTATAATTAATTGTGAAATAAATTCATTTATAGTAAGTTTTATTTTATTGCATTAACTTCAAGAAATATTTTATAAATTTTTGATAGAAGCTGTAATTTTAAAATTTAATTAATAAAGTAGCATTATGTTATTTGAAGGATTATTTTAAGACTATATGTAATAGGTTGCACAATTGTTTTACATGTTGGTAGAAATTGAATCTACAATAGAAAACCATTATTTTCTCAACATAAAAACAATAGAAGAATTTAAGATTAACTTATCAATGTATATAATATTTATTAAAAATATTGCACAAGTTTTAATATATTATTCATACATCAAACTACTTATAGCAATTTCACTGGAAATTTCTTTTTTATTTTTAGCTTTATTAATACAATTTTTTAATATTTTTATTTTCTAACTTAACACAAGTATTATAAAAAAGTTCCTATTTTCTTCACTTTGTGATCTATTAGTTTGGTTTAGTCTTGTAAATAAGTTATAATAAACAATAACATGTAAAAAAACTATAGAGATCAAATTTGTAAGTAGATTCTAATTTTGCAATAGAAAAAAATTAATATCTAAAAAATAATATCTCTAAAATTAAAAAAATCATTACCATACATTAATAATAACAATATTAACCCATAATATTTAACTCAAAACTTCAAAAATTGTAATGTTGATTACTAGTGCTTCAACTTATGTAATGTTTTTTTTATAGCATTTAACAATATTTCTAAATTTAATTATTTAGTAAAATTCAGTTTACATAATTACATAAAATTAAATCAAAAATTAATTTAAATAAAAGATTGAACACTTTGAAATTTTAGCAATAATTTTTTTAAAAAAAAAGAAATAGCTTAAATGGTAAAACTTTTAAACCATGGTTATAGAAGTTTTAAAAAGAATGTTTTTTTGGTCTTTTTAAAACTTTCTAGATAAATCATCCTTTAATATAATAAATTATTTTAAAAGGAACAACTCTATCATATATAATATATTATTTCTAATTACATTAAAGCATATTTTAAATAACTTCTTTTTTATATTTGATATGTTGTTTACATGTGGTTTGCAAATAATGGAAGTCTATTTTTTGACATTAAGGATTAAAATTCTTGCTACTGAATTAGATAAAACTATTTATTTTTTTGAAGATAAAGATCACTTTTAATATCAAGTTACTTAATACCACTAGTATTACTAATTTTTTACTTTGAAAAATTGCCTTTGTATCATAAACTTTATAGACAAATTATGCAATATTTATAAAATATGTATTGTATAAATTTTTGATCTCTACAAAAACTTCTAAAACTAGTTTTGAAAAATATTCTTAATATAATTGATATTTTTCATCAACAACATCCTACATTGTACCAAATTGCTATGTGTCACTTTTCAAACATCTACAAATTCAATTTGCATCTTAAAATTAGAGATAGATTATATTGTCGTGATTTTAAGCATTTTTAGAGAAATTAGAGATATTAGCACAAAAAAAATGTAAACAATAATTCTTTGTCAAAGATAAATTGCACCAATATATTTGTCTTTATGTGCATTATTTTTTTTTAAATAATAAATCTTTTGAGTTTTTTTACAAATATTATTTTAGTTTTCTTTAACATTTATACATGTTAAAGAAATTACTAGTATTTTTCAACTTTGATCATCTAAAAACTTCTTTTAAGTTTCTTATAGATTTTCAATACACTACATATTAAATTAGAATAAATCTTGTATACAAATTAGATAATCAAAAATTTAAAAGTTAATATGAATAGGTAAAATTATCTAATTATTATTAATATAATTCTTTCAACATATAAGATTCTTCAAAAATTATTCTATATTAATAAAGATAGATATTAATTTTTTTGTAAAGTTTTCTTTTAAAATTTTTCATTCATTCCTATTGTTTGCCCTCCAGCCTCTATTTCCATGGTAAATGCATCTTACTACTTCAACACATCCATTTTTTTGTCATAAGGTTTTAGTACTTTCTTATCCACACTATTTAGAATTCTAAGAGAACTCAAATTAAAAGCCTTATCCAAGTTAGTTGTAGACATTTCATTATCCTTTATTTTTACTTTTATATTAAAGAATTTTATTTTTGTGATTTTTATTGGATTATTTACATCATTTAAATTCACATTAATTTTTATTATTATTTTAATTAAGAAAAAACTAGCAAAATTACAAATATATCCAATATACACACATAATCATTTGTAGTTGATATTTCTATCTATATCTATATATAAGTACATATTTAATTTGATAAAACTAGTTAATTATAGAAATAAAAAATTATATAGTTTTACTATCATAAATTAATAAAAACTATAATAAAAAATTATATTCAATAGTAGAGATTATCAAATTATAAAGAACTTATACTATTTAATATAATTTATAAATATAGATTGAACCAACTTGGAGATATAGTAGGGTATTCTCTACCTTTTTTATTTTTTATTTTTTTTCATCAAATTGATATTAAATATTATATAGTATACTACAATTTAAAATACTTTGTGCTAATCATGATTTTGCAAAGACTTTGACTATTTGTTGTTTAGGTAATTTGTTATAAGAAATAAGTTATCATATTTTTTTTCTTGAATTATAACAACAATAAATACATATGTCATATAAAGGATCTTAGCTTGAAATTTTTTTTATTTGTTTATTTTATTTTTTTTAACTAATTTCACAAAATTCTTATAAATAGTTTTTTTATTTTTTGAATTGAAGATTATATTTTTTGATGGAAGTAGAGTACCTAAATTAAAATTACACTTTTTTTATGGTGTTACAAGTATTGTTGATGCTTAATTATACTTCACTAATGTAGTTGTATTTATTACTCGTGTCTTTACAATATTAATAGAATGTATTGCATTTATAGAATTATAAGTTTTTCATATAAATTCTTATTTATTCATATTTATTTGCTATAATTTCATCTCTAAACAACACAAGTTCTTTGAACACTTGTTTATAATATTGATAAATGTTAGTGTAATTAAGGTAAGTCATTAATTAATTAGAAGTCATTTTGTGCTTGGACCAAGAATACATTTAATCTTTCAAAAGAACTTTTTAGAAAAGATAGCAACATTCCAACTAAAAAAGACTCATTAGAAAATCGCAATTTTGCTAAGTTTAGTTCTAAAACACAACACATTATTACCAATTATCAATTTAATAGAACATTGTCACTTTAGATACTCTAATATAAAGCTTTTGTGTCAAGATTTCAATCAATTTAATTAAAGAATACACCAAATTTCTTGATACATTCTTAAGACTAGACAAAAATGTGCCAACCTTCTTTGACAATCGGTCGTAGAAGTTTTAATACTATTATAGATTAAAGAAGTTCAAATCATGTGGCTAAAGTGATTATGCTAATAATACAACTATGGTTGATCATCTATCAAGCTTTCAAATAAAGATATTAACAAAAACCATCCAAAAGATTTATAACATGTATAAGAATAAGTTCTTCAATTCAATGATGCTAATTGTAATATTTCATAGTATTATATTGAAAGACTTAAGAAAAGACAAGTTGTGTTTTACTATGGCACTATAATCAATGTAGACAATTTTGACAAATTTAAGTTATTTATCATTGGTCATTTCAAAAAGTTATATTATTTTTTAAAATAACTAGAATCTTAATAATTACTATTATTGATTACTTTTGATACATTGGGCTATTTGGCAAGATATAAGACATAGAAGACATGATAAAAGTTGCTTTATTGAGGCCAAACAATATTGCAAATGAACAAGCTACTATAAAAGAGATTTTGGCACCAATCAACA